TTAAAAGGATGATTTGTAGTCCTCCTTGGCTGGAGAAAATCAGAGCCTACAAGGGTAAAAGAGAGGTAAAAATTAATGGTTCTTAAACAATTTGTGCATCAGAATCACCTGAGAAGTTTAAGTGGTGCCTTGCCCCGCCTTTGTGATGCTCATTTAGTTCACCATGGGAGCAGCAAGAAATGTGTGTTTCCATAGTACCGTAGGTACAAATGATTTTAATATGAATGATTCAAAGAATACAGCTTGTCAAGGTTAGGGCAAGTTGAATCTTTCTCAGTCATAATCTGAACCACACTATAGGAAATAGAAAAAGTGTAAAGAGTATTGTGGGTAACAGTTTTCCAAGTGAGACTCATGGGGTACCTACCTTATTCAAATTACCAAGGGTACACTTGAATAAGACAAACTCCTAGACTGTGCCCCCCCCCACCCCCGCCTCAACTTGTGAAACAGCCACTGTAGTGAAGGAAGACTGCTTCATGTCTTCGGTGTGGAGGTGCTCCCAAAGGGACTCCCAGATACACGAAAGTCTGCAACCATTGTCATAGGAATTATTTACCCTGTTCATGTTGTAATAATTACTTCAAGTTATTTCTAGATTGGAATCTTAGTTTATTCAACCACTTCAAATCACCTATCTGGAAGAAAATATATAATTACTGGAGGTCTCAGTAATTTTGAGAGGTCACTCTGGAACTCATAATGTGTACCACAGCTTCAAAAAGTTAAATTCTGGTGTTAATGGACACAGGTAATACACTTTTATATTTACCTTGGGGAAATTTAAAGCACGGTTTTAAAGTCAAGAGGACAACAATTCTAGTTTTTAAGGTTATAATACATAAAAGCAAAGTTGTATAAAATCATAACACAGCAAGTTTAGATGACCCACTAGACATTTGATATAACACACCTCTGTTTGTAGAACTTTCTTGTAATGGCTAATCTTGGTTGTTGACTTGAATACATTCAGCATCAATTAAAACCCAAGCAGCTGGTCATGCCAATGAGGGATTTTCTTGGTGAGATCATTTGATGTGGAAAGATCCACACTAAATCTGGGCCACACCTTCTGGTGGCAGTCTACGTGAAAGCACATTAAGGAGTGAATCATTTACCTTTTGCCTGCTTACCCTCATGCTTGCTGACAAACTCATCTATATTGTTGTTGATGCCTTTTCCCCTACATTGGTAGTAGAACCTATTTCTTTAAGATGCCAATGTAGACTAAAAACCAGCAGCTTTTTCAAAATATGTCTTCAGCAGGGACTGCTGAGACAACCATTCTTGTGGACTGAATAACTACTGAATTCTTGGCCTTTCCTTTGGGAGACAGCCATTGCTGAACTACCTGGATCACAGCCGATAAGCCGCTCTAATAGAGTCCCCTTTGAACACACACACTCTCCATTCTATTTGTTCTGTTCCTATAGAGAACTCTGATGTATCTGTTTTTTATATCATGATATACATGACTGTGATAAATTAGTTCACTTAGGATGCATGGAATAAAAATTCTTTCACATGCATCCACTAGTGCTGGTTTGAGAGCTGGCACTAGAAAATGTGAGAGAAGCCCAGGTTAGAGGCCCAAGTCTATTGCTAACTGTCTGAGCACCACTGGGAAAGTCACTCACCCAAGATATAGTTTCTTGTTCTGTGCTGAATTAGGACATTTAAAAAAAAGAAATGTTGCATATGCATTAAGCTTGTAGCATATCATTTAATGCTCAAAACATACAGTGAGATTAATAATAGTATTTCCATTTTAGCTAGCAGAACACTAAGGCTCAAAGAAATCATAGTCCAAGAGAAAAGAAAGAAGGAAGGCTATACTTGACTTTAAGTTCATGTTCCTAAAGAAAACTATTACTTACATAATGGTATGCCCAATTAACCAATAATTATGCCATTTCAATGATAGATAGCGATGGCCCATAAGTAAAATTCCTTGTTATTTGTATCATTGAAATACATGACATTGACTATCACTTTATTGTGGCATGATGGGTCAAGGAATAATGTTAATTTCTGAGTCTTTCTTCATAAGTTGAAAACATAGGTCAGTATCTTTCAGGCTCTTATATAGCCAAATGCCCCAAAATATGACTTTATGTTGCTAACTATGTACTTACATTTCAAAGAAAATCAATATCAAAAATTATCTTTGAGAGTATCGAAATTACACCACTGTTTAAAAGAATTTGTTTTTCCTATCCATACCTCTGCCTTTAGTTCTTTATTTTATTTTTATCTCTAAGAAGAGTATGACTCCAAGCACTTTGTCTGCAAGACCTAAAGAAATCCCTCACACCTACCAAGAAACTTTCTTTCTGCTGGCTAGCTTCCCTAGCATCAGAAGGTGCTGTTACAGGCTGGGAAAGAAACAACATCAATTGTCTTACTCAGCACTGAATCCTGCATGATACAATACCAACCTCCCAGGCAAGATATGTCCACTGGTGCAACAGCAGCATGATGGTTATGGGGTAGCCAACTACTTTCTGATTTCTGGTATTTAAAATATTGTCAAATCCCATGGTGGGGGGATGCATAGGTCTTAGGTGGAACTTACTATTGCTATGTTGCTAAATGGTCATATTGTCCTACAAATTGCCTTCAAAATATTTATACTTCTAACCATAGACCTCTGCTGGTCAGAAAAGCTTCTTTTTGCAGTTGGATGGAGTCTATGAAGATACTCATAACTAGTCAATGTGATAAGAAATGATGGTGAGTACTCAACTCTAAACAGAACAGCCTTATCAATCACCCTGCCATGGCTTAAAGGACACTGTGGAAGAGGAGGCAGAAAAAATTATGAGTTGTAAAATAGGAAGAATTGGTGTGAAATGCTTCGTTCTAGACGTGACACATCTGTTGGCACTTGGAGCAGCTGTGGTTATCTGCACAAGCCAACCACATTCTAGCTTGAAGGGTAGAGGAGCTGCTGAGAAACCAGGGGTTAGGGAGAATCATCTTTCTTTGGGGTAGTGGCACTGGCAGCAGCCTATGCTTCAGTTGATGGTCCTACATCCATGCACATATTGGTAGCAGGGCTTGGTGTGTAATTATTTTCATTAAGGCTTGAAATTGGGAGGGGGACTTGCTGTTAGGATCCAGGGAGAGTTCCTAAAGCGAAATGAAGACTAGTGGTGGCTATGATCATCCTTCATTATATACATGCGTGAATTTTTCTTTTCTTTATTTACTTATACTTTTTAATACTTACTTTTATTCTGTGTACTAACTCTATGTGTGTGCACCATGTGTGTGTAGGAGTCCTCAGAAGTCAAGTCATTAGATTCCATAGAATGTGGGGTGCAGACAGTTATGAGTCACCATGTAGGTGCTGTGAACCACACCTGGGCTCCTCTGTAAGAGCAGTCAGTGCTCTTAACCACTGATCCATCTCTATAGCTTCCTGTATGAAATTTCCAGAGTACTTTTTAAAAGGACACATAAGTGACAAAGGTAATTTCTAAATTTTTCCAGAGATATTTTACAGTGGGTATGCTAATAAGAAATAAGGCTAATTTGGATTGGACTGGATCCTTTTCTCCCCTCATAGAACGAGAGGCCATGTATATTACCCGTTTTCTGGCAGCTAAGTTGAGGCCTTTGAACATCTCTTCAGAAAACGATGCCATTTGACATGAGACCTTTGGTCATGCTAAGTCATTTCTGTTGACTACCACATCCAGGTACATATTCTGTAGTGAGTAATGTTTTAGACAGGGGGTGCTCTAGTTCCAGCAGATAAACTGTAGGATTTTTCACTTGTGTTTTATCTCACTACCGCTCCCTTTGTGCTTGAGAGAGCCTGGCCCTGGACCAAGCACACTAGCAGCAAGGGGCTGCTGTACTGAAGATGACTGCTCTCATCGAATGGTGTCTGCTGTGACTGTTTGTGATTTACTTCTGTTTAGAAATAGCAGATTTTGTGCTTGTAGCTTTCTTCTAGCAAACATGGAACACACAGAGCTGCAAGAAGATACAGCGATTCTCAGCTGTCTCCTGGGCTGGAGGATTTATCAGATCAATTCTATTATGAAGGCCAGATGTTTTCAGGGTGGAGAAGGAATACACATTTCCCGTATGTTCTCATAGCCAACTTGCATTATCCAAGGCCAGAGTTGTCCATGGCACTTGGGCCCCTATTTCAGCATACATTCTTTGGCTGAATACTGTTGCCCTGAAATCACATACTAGGGACCCACAGATGAAGGTTTTTTGTTTGTTTGGTTGCTTGGTTTTTGTTTTGTATTGTTTTTTACTCTTTGACTTTATTTTTATAAATTTAAGTCAGGATATAATTGAAAATATACACTCAAATATTAATGTTTTCTACCTCATAAAAGAAACTGGATGATCTGTCATGCAGAGTCTAATTCAGTGGCAACAAACAAACAGAGCTGAGTGAGCCCTCATGTGTTCTTCAGTTATCTGTAAGCTCAAGGGCTCCTGATGGGACCCCAGTGTGAAAGTAAAGTGCTATGTGCCTTTTACTGTCGTGTGAATATTTGCAGAAAAGCCTGCAACGCTGAACCTGCTGCAATCTATCCTGTTGGTGTGGGATGGAGTGCATAGGAGTTAAACTTGCATTTGTCCCCTTTTGTCCTTTTCTCTTACCTTCTGACCCTTGGAGGAACGTGAATTCAACATCTCTTTTCAGAATTGTGAAGAAAGAATGTAAGTGCCAAACCCTACCTACAGTTCCATTACAGTTCGTTACTAAATTTTTCTGCTGCGATCTGAACAAAGCAAGATCCTTCCATAAGCTCCACTTCTCATAGAATGCCAACTCAGTGTCTTTGGTACTTTCATAGATTTCCAATAAACATCAGTAAAAAAGAAAAACAAAACAAAATAACCCCTTACACTTTCTACCTAATCCAAATCTCAATTTCCTGAAATGGAATTTTCTTTAGATTTGAATATGAAAGCCAGAAAAGGCAAAATGAGGAGAGGGCATTAAAAATCTGTTAGTACAGAAGACATGACATAAAAATATACCTTTATTGAGACTGACAACATTAGGAAGTTTAGAACACACTATTTACAGGGAGGCAACAGGAAGAATGAATTCCTCTGGGAAAGTTTGATCCTGGGGGGCAAAATGTGCTGTAGGTTTGTTGCTGAGCCCTCTCCTACAGTGTCGACCAGAACCTGCTCCTTTTCAAGTCACTCCCTTGGGTACATGCACCCTGTGAGAGTCAAAACGCTGTTCCCTTGGGTATACACACCCTGTGAGTGTCAAAACACTGTTCCCTTGGGTACACACACCCTGTGAGTGTCAAAACCTTGTTCCCTTGGGTACACACACCCTGTGAATGTCAAAGCCCTGCTCCCTTGGGTACACACACCCTGTGAGTGTCAAAGTCCTGCTCCCTTGGGTACACACACCCTGTGAGTGTCAAAACCCTGTTTCCCTAGGTACACACCCTGTGAATGTCAAAGCCCTGTTCCCTTGGGTACACACACCCTGTGTCAAAGCTCCAGTATACTTCACCGCCCATATCATAAGGAAACACCAGTTCTTAGCTACTTTTGAACCACGGGGCAAGATCAGACTCTAGACAACTTTTACATACTGACCTTCTAGGGCCCGAGAAGAGTGTGCTCTTCCGAGGCCATTAGAGGCAATAACTGCAATCAGGTGCTTCCGGTCTTTTGTCTCCTAGAAATAAATAGTTTTTAAAAAATCAATAAAGGGGACACAAATCTGATAGTCTATTTAGATGATAAAAATGTCAATTATTCCCAAAGGTTTGTGACCCAGAGAGAGAGTTGGTAGAAATAGCAGCCACCACCCTCCACATAAAGTGATTATAGAATATAAAAGTCGTTGTTATTGGATAAATCTGTGAAATGGTGCCGTGCAAGAGCTGAGATCTGGGGAGCGGGTTCGGGTCTGGTGCCATTTTGCAGCCACTGACTTTCCGACTCTTGGAGAGCAGGCTTACAGAGGTGTGTTTCCCACTGGGGTTGGGTATGCATCTCTGCCCGGCTCTTGCTCCTGAGGTGACTTTCTCCTTCACAGTAGGTGACACAGCAGCGACAAGCTGCCGAGGGCTTCCCTCGGTGCTTGGACATGATGCCCGGGGCTGGCGCTGCTCCAGACACCCGCTCTAAGCTCCGGAGTTCTGGGGGCTCTTTCAAACGACTTCTCCTCTGAACGTGATCCAAACTGGTGTCAGACTGAGAAGAGCTGCTCTCATTCCAGCCAGAGCTGGCGCTCAGGCTTCTCAGGGGAAGAGCCAAGCGCAAGGCCTTCCAGAACTTGGAGCCAGAATGTTTGGACTTCTCTCCCTTCCAGCTCACAAAAGACACAGACTCCTTCAACTGCAGGATGCCTGGGTGGGGATGCTCGAGGGGACGGTACTCCACCACAATGAGCTTGGTGGCAATGGAGTTCTGGCACATGACGCCCAGCTTAAACTCCAGCATGCTGATGCTCTTTTCTGTCACATAGTCAGGGCTCAGGACAACAATCATCCTTCGGCTCCGCTGAATGAAATCAAACACTGCTTCCACCGTATCTACAGGGAAATGGAAAGATAGCATAGCATCTGGTAATGATGTCTTCATACCCAGTTGGTCACTTTCTAGTCCTAAAAGGACGGGCATGAACAAACTTTTGAGAAAATAGAATGTCAAGAAGTCAAGATCAAGTAGCCAAGTAATCTCATTCACAACAAACTGCGAAGAATTTGTTCCTTGTAAGAAAGAGGAGTCCCTTGAATTTGGTCTCTCCCTACACAACACCCCCTTCCACTGCAGATCTCTTCGTGAAAATGTCTTCCCCATCATAAAAATAAAGGGAATGTGAATTTGAAGATCTATTTCAAAAAGCAGCGCTCTCTCTCTCTCTCTCTCTCTCTCTCTCTCTCTCTCTCTCTCTCTCTCTCTCTCTCCTTGTAAATCATTTCTTGTTTTAGAATTTTTATTTCCTTAAGTTTTACCTGGTGGCCTTAGATCAGATATATATCTTCAAACATTCGAAGTAGCTAGGTGCTATTGTGATATTACTGCTTTTTCTTCTTACGTCTGGATTAAGCGACTTCAAGTATTTACTCTTATTCTATACCATACATAAGTTCAAGAAGCCCCATCTCTTCACAGTCCTGAGAATAATAATTCAACTTGTATATATGTATTCTAGAAAAATATTTTGAATAAAAAAGAACATACTTACTTCTCCAGAAAGTCTGATTGGCAAATTACCAGGATTTACCACCTCCCTAGATTCTGAGTTACAGCCAGCCCCAGGTACTTAACATTTTGGACACAGTAAGTATTGGTCTCTATAACTAAGATTTCCTTCCTTCCTCGTTCCCTCTTTCCCACCTTCCTTTCTTTGTTGCTTCAATTTTCTTTTGCTTTTTCTGTCTCCTGTGTGTATGTATGTGTGTATAAAGAAGTGGCCTAAAGTCAATTTAAGAGCCGAATGCCACCATAGTAGTTGAGAATCAATCAATTAATTAAGACTTCTGGCAGAGCACTCGATTCTAATGTTTGCTGAGGGGATATGGACAGGTCCCAAAGGACAATTCTTCAAATGAATGCAGTATTTAACCCACGGTGAATTGCAGGGACTTAGACAAGATGAGCAAGGAAAAGAAAGCCCGCCGGTGGGACTCTTACTACGCACAACTTTGAAAACATGGCAGCCAGTGCTGAGGCTGTGTTTGCTTTTTTTTCAGCCTATAGAAACATTAAGAATTTGCAGTGAGTTTGATAGCCATGAATTTGAGAGGAATGAGGAAGCCAGGATCCTTCCCCATTCATTCTTTCTAATGAGCGGAGTGAATTCAACCTGAATTTAACTAAAAATTAGAAGACTTTTTTCATTCTGATATTGAAAGATTTAATTTTTCAGTTCTCAAAATCACAGGTGTGGATGCAGATGTGCAGGTGTGCAGGTGTGGATGCAGCTGTGTAGGTGTACAGGTGTGTATTTCAGTAACTCCCTTGTCCCATTCTCCCTACTCAGATTTGATGAACTGTCTTTAATATATTAGACATCACACCTGTGAGGATTCTGCTGCTTTACCTGGATCATAAGAAATAGAAAATAACCTTAAGACAACATGGCTAGATTTTCAACACAGGAAACTTACACAATCAAATCCCACAAGTGTATATGTAACCATATTAAAAATGTTTGTTAGGAAAATGTGTGTTGTTTTCAATGGGCTAGCAAGGATGGAAGTAAAAGATAGATCTTAAACATTGTTTTGGGCTTGTGGAATTTTATATATATATTACCTTTAAAGAAAGTGGGAGGTTTCCATTTGAAAGAGGACAGTGTGGATGCAGATCTGAGTGGTGGAAACAGACACTGACAAAGAACTGGAGTTGTTCCCAAGATGGGGCTTCTCCTGTGCTCGAATCTTTACTTCATAATTTAGAAACCAGCAGCTTCCTTTTATGCTATTTAAAATAACTCCCAGATTTTCAAAGCTATTTGAAGATGAGGGTGATCATTTATAATGCTAGAGTTTGTATGGAAGTGTAATGAATTAGGTGATTTATTGTTTGGCTCAGAAGAATGAGGTCTGATTATACAGCAATGGATTCATTTCCTTTGAATCACTAGGTTGGTTTTTAAGTCATGGTTCTGATCCAAAACTCTACAATCCTTAAGGAAAAGCATGCCTTTAAAAGTTGTAATACCCATGGAAGTCATATTCATCTACAAGAAAACTATGACTCTGACACTTTTTCTTTGCTAGGATTTTTGTAGAAGAAATCTCCCCTCTCACACTATGTCTTTCTTTCCCTTTTTTAAAAAAGGGAGCAACATTGAAGAGCCATCTGAATTCAAATCTTTATTTTTCCTTGATCTCTGTTTTTTATCTTAATACCTTTGCATCAGAGTGTATTATTCTACAAATCACATGTGATAAAAGCAAAGGTGTAGGGACATAACACAAACTAGCAATGGACTAAGAGATTGTGCTAGTAGTAATTGTTCTTATCTGTAGCTATTATAAACTTAATATGTGGGAAATTTAAACTCTATTACCATCATGAATTTACTAAGTCCATATTCAATAAACATATCAACTAATTTTATAATTTGGCCAAAACACAAAAATCAGAGCCAATAAGATGAGTCAGCAGGCAAAGGGGCCTGCCAATTTGAGTTTGATCCCTGGGCAGAATATGAGAACTGACTAGTGCATACTCCAGGATGGACGGACACACACACACACACACACACACACACACACACACACACACACACAGGGATAGAAAATAAATAAATACATAACAATTTAATTTTTAAAATCCTTAAAAAGAAACACTGGATTGGTTGCTGAACATGTCTTTCATTCCAGGCTCCATACTTTGCTTGCATAAAAGATCTAGTTAGGGGTGTACACAACTGGATAGAGAAATTTAGTTCGGCAAATGGTAGCCAGACTGATGACTCCAATGCAATGCCATTACTGAGTCTTCTAAAGGGTCACTGTTGATGGGCTGAAACAACTTAAGACTGGTTACCATGTGTCCAGTGTAAAACATCCATATACAAAATGTAATACAATGTATATTTCCTGCAATGGGGGATTTTGTACATGCACAGTAGAGAATTTTGTTGTCGTTCAACCCTGCCTGACAGTTGTTCATTAACTGAATAGAAACCTGTGTCTTCATGACTTTGGTCCATGGATCCTGGCTCCATTCCTTTCTGATTGATAAGAGTTGTCTGTACGTTAGTAGTGTTTGAAGCTGAAACCAGAGAAATGACTGTGGTTTTGTTTTAAAGTGATGCTAAGTGTGGCTCTTGCCTCCCCTCCCCCCACACACCTCCACCCTAATGTACTGGACTATCCACTTTACTTAAGCAATTCTTTTACTCATACACAAAGGAAGTGTTCTTGATATGAAGTCCACATTTTTCTTAGACATTTTTCTTAGACATTTTTCTTATTCCTCAATAAATATTTAACTATTATAACTTCTTTCATTTCTTTTTGCAAGCATAATCATTCTTTTTACTTATTTCTCAAGCCCAAACATGAATATAAGGACACAAAATACATGCACAAAATAAAATTCAAAGGTGAAAATAAATGGTTTATTGTAAAAATATGTAAATATACAAATCAAAAGAAAATGGAAAATACAATGTTTATGAATAAAATTAAAAAGAAGGTCTTAAAGTACTAAAACCTATGGAAACAAATGCGTAAGTAACAAGTGGAGTGATGTTTTGTTTCCCAGTATAAGACAGTACTTTTTTATTAGGATCCCAGGGTACAAAAGAGAATTAAATAAGTCACATGTGGCTGTGTAAGTAGACACTCTATAACTCTATACAGTATGGTTCTTTATTAACCTGGGTGCAGAAGTTCCCTTTACCATAGATCTAAAATTATGGAGGATTTTTTTCATAAGAAACATGATGTATTTTCTCATTCTCTGAAGTACAAGTGTGTGACCCTCTCCTCCCTCTGCTGTTCTGTATCAAGCATCTTCTGAAACACAGAGCAGAGTCTTGAAATTAAGTTCACTTAGGATGAGCTATGTTGTTGAGATTTGATATGCTTTATACTATAGCAAGGGAGCAGGCTCAATATAATGAAGAGGAATATAAATAGGAAACTGCAGAGGCATTTCTAGTGGCATGTAATAGCAGTTGGGATGAATACAGAATCCAACAGTGCAGAAACTGCACAGTGCAGAGAATGGCCTGTGGTGAGGAGCTTGGCCCTTGCTTCCCTAGAGCTCATACCTGAAGTGGGAGTCAGCTTTCATTTGGTAGTGTGATTAAAGGGTTATTAGTGGAAATGGTAATTATTCGAAATAACAAAAAGCATTAACCTTTTTAAAAAATTAGATGCCAGAATGACTATATATTATAGTATTATGTCAGGGATTCACAAGGGAACCCTTTTCAATTCAGAGTAATCAATAATTCTAACACATAGCAATGATTTATTGTGGACATACGTACTGATGACCACTTAAAAGTAAGAGATAATTTTAGAATTGCTTATTAACATTAACTTGGATAAAGTCTTCCTTAAATTATGAGTTATGTTTCCTAGGACACTCAGACTCATTTACACCTATACCTGTTTTTCTTCATCACTCAACAGTCCACACAGCTGAGCACTGAGATTAATATAACTTAGACTCTAAATGTGTCTGCAGGAATATAGTGGAAAAATCAACTGATATCAGATGACTGTCTGCTGTGAGCCATGATAACGGGAGGATCTTGGACAAGAGATACCCCTGCACCCCAGATCAGCTGTAGGAATAGTAAGTCATTCATACTAACCCAGGGAAGGAAAGAGCAATGATAACTATACACAGAGAACCAAAAATTTACAAATCGAACAGTAATGGAATGAAAACACCAACACAAAGCCATCACACTTAAAATTAAAACATAATTTTAAAACTGGACAAGAATTCTACCGGCTTTTAATATCGTACCAATGGTTGTTTCAAGTTGTATGTGTGTGATTATGTATAGCCCCAAATACATACCCACAGATAATTTATAGGCAAGTGGATATACACACATACACATAATTTGTGGGAACTTCTATATACATACCCACATAAAATTCACATGTACAGAGATCAAATATGTGTATATGTATATATGTATATATATGTATATATATATACATATGTATACACACATGTTAGACAAGATGCAGAAACTGGCCACTGCAAATGTAAATGTTGTGCTTAGTTTGCACTTTTACAAGTCTGAAGAATAGTAAAATTCACCTTAAAACTGAAAAAAAAACCTAGCAACTTTCAGGGTGATTCATTCGGAACAAGGTACTACATGTACTCGTGAATAGATAATCAGAAGTGGTCATTCTTTTAGAATAGTAATGCCAAAAGGAAAATCACTACCTCTCCACTCTACTTCATGATGAAGAGGTGTGAATGAGTGAGGATGAACCACTTTCCTGGTTTTCACATTAGTAAGGTTGGAATTAAAAGACAAATTGCAAGCATCTTGTTATATGCTCTCTTCCCGTGTCAAAAATGCCCTGGGAGCATTTTTATGTTTTCTCACTTTCCATTAGCACCATTAAAAGCTTGGTGCCACCTGTGAAATGTGTATGATGGATACAATAGGTAGGAAGATGTAGTGACAAGTATGGACTTATCTATCTGTACACCATTGAGAAATTACTATGATAAAAACAAAAGCCATACCTTTTTCAAGTTTATAAATATGATATCCATTACCTGAGATGAGGGCAAATGTGGTTTAGTAGCTGGAAAGTGGTATGACACTTAATCAGTCATGAGGTACAGCTGTAGTTTGACTGTTAGTCTTGCCGAGGTGGTGGATTCAATAGACAAATAAGCAAGGGAGTGAATTATCCTCAGTGGAAATAGATTTAGTCCCTGATCATATGTTTAATGGATGACTGAAAATAAAATAAAATTAAAGGGAAAATCCTACTGAGAAGCAGGTAATACTCGTGTCAGCAGGTAACCTATCATTAAAGGAGTTTCGAGTCACTGGGCAAAGTGGCTCCACAACGGTGAAATTTTTACAAAGAGATTAAAATAGAGGGAGGAACAGAGATGGAGGATGCACCAGACACATCTTCACTTGCAAAGATCGCCATGGCTTTAGAACTGGTGACAGACTGTAGAGACATCACTCTAACCCTTAGGATTGCCTGAGAAGCAGAACTGCCAGCCACACGGTCCCTAGGATGTTTTTGTAGGAGGGGCTTAGACAGTGTTCTTTTATCTATCTATGAAGCCACAGCCTAGGAGGGAAAAAGGGGGCTCTTCCTTCCTTGAGCCCATTTGTTCTTTTTCACTCCTTCATTTTCCCTTTCATACATTTTTCAGGGATGAATAGGATAGGCCCTGCTTGTCACTGCTGGACCACCTGGGACTCTTCTTCACTGGCATGGCCACCTGCAGCTGCTTCCAGAACCTGCCCTGGGGATACTTGGATTTCTCCCCTTTCCATTTAATGACCGTGAGCACCGTCTTAGCCCTCTTCAGCTCTTTCACCTTCATGTCCTTCACAGCTTTGTACTGTACTAAAATGACGTTGATGTTGCCCCGGGAGGCCATAGTTTCTAGGCCCGCCTTGAGCTCCAGGAGGGCTTGTGTTCCCTGGAGCACGTAGTTGGGGCTTAGGACAACCAGGAGGCGTCTGCTTTTCTGAATGAAGCTCAAGGTCTCGTCTGTGACAACTGGGAAAGAAAACACCATGGGGATTAGTGTTGGCCAGGAACTACCTGATGGGCAGAGCTCAAGGAGCAAAAGAAGGGAAGGGACTGGGAACGACAATCTGAGCAACTTCATCTCCGGTCCAAACATACTGTCTGCGGAATGTCAACTCTGCTCAGGGAAAATGGCGTTATATACAAAGGCCCCATGCCCAAAACATGTCCAAATAAGCTAACACCAAAATTTCTTTTAGAGCATCTTTTAGTAACTACAACTCTATCTTAGACAAAGGGAAAGAAGCAATACTGGGAAAAATAAATGGAGGAAGTTTAATCTTCAGTATCAAACATCAGAAGTATTATTTAGCTGTTTACATTCCACATAATACTACAATGTCACTTTCCATTAATGTCTTATTACTGTTACCCCAGTTCCTATCAGCCATGACACAAGTAATAAATGAAATGCTAAGCCTTACCTCAAGAACTTGGTCAACAGAGGCAACTGGATGCAACATGATGAATAATATGAAAACATACAAAATAATCACAGATATAACAAAAAAATCTGGAAAAGAAAGTAAACAATTAAATTAGGCATTTTCTTTAAATGAAAAGGTGCCAAACACCAAGAAGCATATAATTACGTCAAGATTTGGTTGAAACACCTCTACGTGCTGATGAAATAGAAAAAGCATATGTTGTTATTTCCTACAGTGTAAGACATTGTGCAACCCCACAAAAGATTCATTAGAGGCATCTAAAGTCTATTGGCGTCAACCTTAAATGTATGTCAGATAATGGTAGCACATGCTTTCATCTCAGCATTCCAGACACAGACAGATCTGAGTTCCTGGCCAGAAAATATAGTGAGACCCTTATCAAGTGATTCCCCTGCACAAGTACAACTAAATTAACACATATTAGTTATCTAAAACTATTACGGCAGTTAAAGAAAGTGCTGGTTGGAACTACACAACCACAAACAGATCAAATGGGGAGAAAAAGAACAAAACTAAAGGAAATAGTCCCAGGCAGGTATGATGACGCAGGCCTGGAAAGCAGAGGGAGAAGACCGAGTCTAAGGTCAGCCTGACCTGCAAGATGAGATCTATCTCAGAAGAGTGAATCAGAATGGACTGATGATTGAAGTTTCAATTCAATAAAGACATAACCCATCAGAAACTTTTCAAATCTTACGACATTTAATAATTGTTCCTAATATATTCCTTAGTTAAGTAAGTTGTTATATTTACCTAAACATGTTTTTCAAAAGTTGCTGAGCCACCCCAGGTCTGACTTCTAAAAATCTGCCCCAGATTTCCAGGAGAGGAAAAACGATTATTTTCACTAGCCTGGAGATGAAAAAGCTCCTACAGGCTGGGAGATGCTCGGCAGTTGAGCACTTGCTGCTCCTCTACAAGATACATGTTCTGCTCCCAACACCCTCATCTGGTAGCTCACAACTGCATCTAACTCCAGCTCCAGAGACTCTAGTGCCCTTTTCTGGCCTCCGTGAGCATTGCATACAATTAACATGGACACAGAGACAGAGACACTTATAAATAAAAATAAGTCTTAAGTACTATTCAAAAAAGGTAGATGTCGCATGGCTTTATTTTATGTAATAAGCACACAAACATTTTTTTGAAAATCCTTGAAGACTTCAACAAGAATGGAAAATCGAGTATTGAGCTGAGAGAGGCAGGAATGTTAGGAGGTTACTCTCAGCTTCTGGGTCCTCTTAGGACGGTCAGTGAGCACTCAGCAATCCTGTTAGAGTGCAAACCCTCTTCACCAGAGCAAGTGCCAGAGCATCACAAGCTGCTGGCGACTGCAGGGCGGGGCCACGGGGTTAGGTTAGAAACTGAGTTAAAAGTCCAATCATTCCGCCGAAGATGGGGCTATACTGTTATAACAAAAGTATTTTTTTAAGTAGATACTTTTAAATACTCAAAAATGTAAAATAAAGAGCAGGCCATGGTGGAACATTCCTGTAATTCCAATACTCAGGAGGTGAGGTGGGAGGTTCAAAAATTCAAGGATGGCCTTGAACTTCCACATAATGAGTACCAGGACAGCCTGGGCTACAGATCCTTTTAGAAAGTTAGTTTGAGCCGGGCGGTGGTGGCGCACGCCTTTAATCCCAGCACTCGGGAGGCAGAGCCAGGCGGATCTCTGTGAGTTCGAGGCCAGCCTGGGCTACCAAGTGAGTTCCAGGAAAAGGCGCAAAGCTACACAGAGAAACCCTGTCTCGAAAAAAAAAAAAAAAAAAAAAAAAAAAAGAAAGTTAGTTTGGCGGTACATGTCTACAATCCCAAGATTTGGGGGACTGGGACAGGAAGATCACCAGTTCAAGGCCAAAAAGCTTGAGGCTAGCCTAGATTGGACAGCAACACACTGTCTCAGTGTTTTCCAAAAGAAAAATATGTAAAGTCCATTAATCATATCCCAGCTTACTGTAACACAAATCTTTTTGACAAAAAAAGGATTTCCTGCCTATTCCCTCTAGATAACTCAAAATAATACAGAGAGCAAACACATTCGCCTATGGTTTGTCCATAGTACACTCTTCTCTTTATGTTTCTCGGTCCTGTTTCCTTCCCCACAGTAACCGCCATCTTCTGACTTAGTTATCTATCTCTTTTCTTTCACTCAGTTACCTGTCTCTAAAAGACAACCTTATTTTGTAGGGCTAAGTTATCTGAACTCTTCCCACCAATTAAGGCATGACAACTAAACATGAAAAATATAGGCAGCCTCTGAACTGGAGATGCCAACAGTTCAGTACTAACATCTTCTCAGACAAAGACAGAGGATAGATTTTACCAACAAAAAACTACAAGGGTCAAGCAATACTGTGGGATGGTCTGTATGTCAAATGTGTTGCTGATTGGTCAATAAATAAATCACTGATTGGCCATTGGCTAGACAGGAAGTATAGGCGGGACAAGGAGGAGAATAGAGCTGGGAAGTGGAAGGCTGAGGGAGACACTGCCAGCCGCCATCAGGACAAGGAAGATGTAAAGTACCGGTAAGCCACAAGCCACGTGGCAAGGTATAGATTAATAGAAATGGATTAATTTAAGCTGTAAGAACAGTTAGCAAGAAGCCTGCCACGGCCATACAGTTTGTAACCAATATAAGTCTCTGTGTTTACTTGATCGGGTTTGAGCGGCTTGGGACTGGCGGGTGAGAGAGATTTGCCCTGACTGTGGGCCAGGCAGAAAAACTCTAGCAACAAAGCAACACTCTGACAGAAGCTGAAACTGCCAGGATGGTGACTCACACCTCCAAAACCACAACCCGGGAGGTGGAAGGTCACACGTTCAATGCCCCCTCAGCTACGTTAAGACCCTGCCTCAAACTAAGAAGCTCAATCTAGTGAGAAATGACAGTTAGGACTTCAAGTGTCCATCATCATCATGGGACTTGAAATGGAAGCATGGCCAAACACAGTAGTGCACATGTAACTGCTAAGTTTAAAAATGTGTAGCTAGACTGAAAGTAGGTTTCATTTTAAAATGAAAATAAACCAGAAATGTACCAGTGGGAATGTACCAATCAGGAGAGGGTGCCTCTGACATTTGAGACTGATATTAATTACAGCAACAAACAAAAACTCAAAATAAATATAATACATTACATTGATTAGATCTAGAGAACAACTGAATGGTCCTAGCAAAGAACTATTCCCAGAATTCCAATGGCAATGGACATCACTGACAGGAAAACAAAGGGTGAAAGAAAACTAGCAGAATGTACATGGACAACTAACTATGTTGGTTCCGCTATACACTCTATTGCATAAAGTAGTTTCATGATTATATTCCTGCTGAACTATTTCAGAACATTTAAAAGAAATCAGTGTCACTGTCAACAATAAAGTGGTTATCATTTATTGACATCAATTGGAAGCTAAACAAGATAAATTTGAAGTTTTCCAAATCAAGTAATAGATTTTTTTGGGGGGGTGGGGGTGGTTTCAAGACAGGGTTTCTCTGTTTAGCCCTGGCTACAACTCCCTGCTTGGAGTAATTCAATCAATCAATCAATTAATCAGTCTGTCTATCTATCTATCTCTTTCTCAACAATCTAACTACAGATAGGGTAGAATATATTTCCTTAGACCAATACAGTTAATTTTCCTAAGGGAAAACAACCCGAGGACCAGTTCTCTTTATAACTAAAAAGAGAAAACCACATACAATGTTCATTCAAAAACCTAAAATAAAAAAGGAAGGGCTGGGGCTGAGGCTGGGGCTCAGTTGAAGAATGCTTTACCTTGCATATATTACCCCCAGGGTAGGACCCCTAATGCTACATGAACTGGGTGTGGTGGTAAACACCTGCAATCCTAGCACTCAAGTGGAGGCAGGAGATCAGAAGCTCAGGGTAACCTCGGTTATGCAGCCTGAGCTGCACAAGACCTTACCAGAACAGATGGATGGACGGAGTGAGTGAAAAGAGAGTTGACTGGGGCTATAATTCAATGGTACAGTACCTACCTAACTTGTGGAGAGAGTCCTTAGGTTTAAGCCCTTAATATTACCTCCACTCCCTTCCTCTAAAACCCTCCCCTACTCCAAAGGTTCACCTTTTAGTACATTAACTTTAGTTTTACAAATTAAAGTTACATATAAACTAAAGGTCCTATTTTAAGCACCACAGCATCGTTCTAGTGGATCTCAGGATAGTTATTATACAGTTACACAGTAACATGAGTAATAAGAAAAAACAAAATTTCAGCGTTACCTGTTCAAACACATGAGGCCAAACTTGGATAGTGAATGTGGAAATGTTCAACTTTAGAATGAGAACAAGGGTCTAATGATTATTACTTCTGTGATGTCTAAAATCAAGACCCAACATTTGAATTGGAACAATGACATCTTTTCATGGCCATAAGAATATCTGCCATTTACTCCATGATAGCAAAAGTCACATCAACTAATGTTTGCAATTTTAAAAATTGTTACTGTATGTGTGAATTGGCATATGTGCCATGGCACATATGTGGAAGTCACAGAACATCTCCATGCAAATGAGTCTCTCCTTACACTTTTATGTAGGTTCCAAGGACTGAACTTAGGTCAAGCTTTTCAGGCAGGACAAGAGCCTTTACCTGCTAAGCCACCTCATTGGTCCCATTTTCAATTTTTAAAAGCAAGCAACTAACATGTAACACCAAGTTTTGTCTATAAGGTCTAATTTTTGTCATTTATGTTATCATCTATAAACACACACAGACCTCTATGCCAATGGCCACTTTTGTGGTAGGAAGCAAAAGTAACTAAACATTAGGAATTCCAGAGACACTGCCCACAACAGTTTAAGTAGAGAAAAAAGCAGCTGGTACTGTGTCGAACAGCCAAAAGGAGAACATACCCACTGTCTCCCTGAGAGTCTCCTATAGGCTCCTGATTCCAATTCCAATTCTCTGGACTCACTCACAGAAAGGAAAGGGCTAGTAAGAGGCTATGCAAACCACTTGTCACTTCCATTTTTAAACTTAGGCATAGGAATGCTCATTAAAGTGAAGAGAGGACAGTAAACATTCAAAGCACTAAAATCTTGTCTATCTGTGAAGAAGTTACCAGTTAAGTCTTTACTGATTTTATTCCTTTATGCTTTTATGTTTTTATGTATTTACTTTTGAGACAGGGTCTGACTATGTAGCTAAGTAGAATCATGATGTAATACTTACAATTCTTGTAGCAAGGCTGCCTGAATGGTTTTCCTTTTGAAAAGGCAACCGCCACTGTGAGGTACTGAAAACTGGAGATAAAAAACACAGTGGTATTTTCATAATTTTGTATTTTACATGTATCAAGTTCAGTTCCATTGAACAAATGTGACGAGTTCCAACACGCGCTTCTTGTTGTATTACAAACACTGGAACACACAAAGAGTCTATTAGGAATGCAGCAGCATCTCCCCAAGAGGCCAGTGTTATACAGATGCCTTAAATCACAATACAAAAAAGTACAATGCTATTTATAGCAAAAGACACAGCAGCAGCAACACAGAGGGCAGGCAGAAAAGTTGTTTCTTCTTTTCTTTCCCCTTTAGCTAGATATTCCAGTCAACTAAAATTATAATCAAGTAATTTTTTTAATTTTTGAAATTTTAGCACAGTGAATGTAAACAGGCCACAGGTCTGCCTTTAGTGCTCCCACTTTTAGCATCAACCCATGATAACGGGGGATATAGTATCTATTGAACATACTGATACCACTTCTTCACCTGGGATTCGCACTTCTCTGGGGGTTATGCCATAAGTACTAAGTAGGAAGACTTGTGCTAATGTCTGCCCGAGCACTGGCACCAAGATAACAACCAATGATTTTAGTTACAGCTTACTGTTGTTGAACATACACAATTAGTAATGTTACAGCAATGAACACTGATAAATGTTAAGCCTCTGTGTAAATGGACTCTGGAAAGATTCAAGACAAATTTTACCCATTCCTTTTCATGGGCAATGCCTATATACATACAAAACAGTAATATTTTTAAATTTTCTAAAAATTTCAATGATAATCTCAATAGAGTAAAGTAAAATATTCATAACTAAAGAGTTGACAAAATTATTCACATTTAATTGAGTCATCACAGTTTTTTAGCAGCAAAAGTACTTCACAAATAAACATAATACTGCCAAGGTGGTGGTGGTGGTGGTGGTGGCGGCGGCGGCGGCGGCGGCGGCGGCGGCGGCGGCGGCGGCAGCGGCGCTGCTGCACGCGCACACCTTTAATTCCAGCATTCGGGAGGCAGAGCCAGGTGGATCTCTGTGAGTTCGAGGCCAGCCTGGTCTACAGAGCAAGCTCCAGGAAAGGTGCAAAGCTACACAAGAAACCCTGTCTTGAAAAAAAAAACCAAAAAACAAAACAAAACAAAAACCCAAAAAACAAAACACATAATATTCTTTTCAGAAATTTAAAAATAAAATAAACAGTGCTTCTTCAACTTGGGGTAGAAAAGCTGGAAGTATGACACTATACCTCTTGGACACTGATACCAATTTTCTCATTTTACAGATAAGGCAAATTGATCAAGTGATTCTAAGGTCACATCCAGGTAATGAGAAGAACTTTGCCTGTAAACCTTCTACTACAGTCTTAGAACTGTCTCCTGTAAAGTTTATGCTCAGATTCAATCCCCATTGAGATATTAAAAGAGACTGAGTGATTAGGGTTTTGCCCCAATGAGTGGATTAATCCATTTATGCAATTCACAGGTGAATGGGGCATATCAGAAAAGGTCTGTTATAAAACCCAGTTTAAATAGGTCTCTCATTGTGTGCTGTCTGGTACTGCCTAAGAACACCTCCATCAAAAAAGTCAGCCTATGTTATTTCTCAGCCAGGAGATAAGTCTCTTTTCTTAATAACTTGGTCTGTGGTACTGACTAACAGAAAACTGAGACACTCTCCTAAAGACAGAAGTTACCATGACAAAAAGGAAAAATTTATTAGGTGTTTAAAGCAAGCTGCAGGCAAGTTCTATACACATTTCAAGGCTCATCTTTTTACATTCATCCTACAAATTTTTATGATGGATTGACCAACTCACTCTGAGTACGGATCACACACTTTATACTGCTTGACCCAGAAAAAGCCCAGCGACTGAAATCCAACGCAGATGACGATCTGAGACAAGACAGAGAAGAGGAGTGCCCCGGATATAAGGCCTGAAGGTGGTCTCTGTGCCACAAGCTCCTTCCAGGCGGGATTTAAACTCACTGTATTTGAAAGGAAAGAACAAAAAGCTGTTGTCTACATTTCCCACTAAGAAAGAAATAATAAAATTGACTGCAAATAAAACTTTTAAAATTCTGGATTTGTCCATTAAGTATTTAATAAGAAAAGTTTCTAAACACTCAAGCCAGATGTCATACACATTTAAATAATCTGTAAGAGAAAAAATTTATTATTTCAAAAATGCTTCCAGTAAGTTTCACCTTTTTGCTGAAATTCATGGGAAACATTAGTACCAGTAAAAATAATAGTAACTGTAAACCAACGTGTGGTGGGGCACCCTTGTAATCCAGCACTGGGGAGGCTGAGGCAGGAGGATCATAAGTGCAAAAAACCATGTCATACCATGTATGCCATAGCATAGCGTAAAAAAACATGGAGATAGAAACCCAGTCAATTGCTTTCCCTTTAAAGAAATTACTAGTAATGTCTGAAGCAATATGAACAGAATAGTAACAAAGTAGAATTAGTACAAGTGATAACATGTGGGATCTACCAAGTTTTCTCTATAAAGTTCCTATTTATCTTTTGATAATTAATGTCAAAAGTTACACTGACACTATCAGAATTTTGTTTATCCATTAACTAGTTTTATCATCTATTAAGCATTTTTAACTCCATAATTCTCACCAGGGGTAATTTTAGCACCCCAGAAAAGATTTGACAAGGGCTCTACTTCTAGCAGTTGGAATTTTGGCAGCATTGAAGATATGCAGTAACCAATGGTTTACCTGTGTATCTGACAGTGCACAAGACAGCTCTCCACAAAGAATTATCTTCCTAAAATGTAAAGAAGCCCAGGATCTCTTCTTGGTCAAATGTGTTATTAATTAATTAATATTAATTAGCAAGTTCCTTAAAACAACAGTTTTCACTTACTTCCCAAGTACTTATTTATTTCCAGTATGGACAGACTTGTGAATTCCTATTAATTTAACAGGTCACACACCATAATAATTATTTACCTTGATGTTAATATCACCAACACTAGTAAAACTAACATTGTGTCTCCGCACACGATGAATCTACAAGGACACAACATCAGTCTTGTAATATCCCTTGAAATATCCATAGCCTGGGGCTGGAGAGATGGCTCAGAGGTTAAGAACACTGGCTGCTCTTCCAGAGGTCCTGAGTTCAATTCCCAGCAACCACATGGTGGCTCACAACCATCTATAATGAGACTTGGTGCCCTCTTCTGGCATGCAGGCAGAACACTGTATACATAATAAATAATTCTATTAAAAAACCATAGCCTGAGTTTAAAGAACATAGGTCAGGCAAATCCAGCTTTAGTAGTATTAAGTCAGGTTGTCCTCTAAAGACTAGAGAGATGGCTCAGTAGTTAAAGAACAATTGCTGCTCTTGTAAAGGAGCCGAGTTCAGTTCCCAGCTTTTCAATAATCACATCATCCATTAATTCCAGTTCCAGGAGATCCAATATCTTCTTCCCACTCCATGGGCACCAGGCACATTCATGGTGCACACACACACACATGAAGGCACACACTGAAGTACATAAAATAAAACTATAACAATAATAACGAGGACTAAAGAGTATATGGAAGTGAGCATGCTCCATTAGAACTGATGATGTTTGTTACTCAGAATATTTTTCCAGTTGATTATTGAAAAGCTACTTTACTACAAAAAAATGGGGGGGGGGGGGTGGGAGAGAGCACAAAACCAAGGCGTAGGGGAGAAAAGTAAGAAATACAATAATTAGAGTAGACTGATTCACAATTTTTTGAGGAACTGCCATACTGAGTTCCATAGTAACTATACAAATTTACACTCCCAACAGCAATAGAGAAGTGTTCCCCTTGCTCCATATCCTCGCCAGCATGAGCTGTCACTTATGTTACTGATTTTAGCCAATCTGACATCTATAAGACGGAATCTCAAAGTAGGTTTGATTTGCATTTCCCTGATGGCTAAGGATGTTGAACATTTCTTTAAGTGTTTCTCAGCCATTTGAAATTACTCTATTGAGAATTCTGTTTAGATCTTCACCCCACTTTTTAACTGGATTATTTGGTTTTATAATATCTAATTTCTTGAGTTCTTTATATATTTTGGGTATTAAACATCTATCAGATGTAGAGTTGGTTAAAAAAAAACATTCCCATTCCATAAGCTGTCTCTTTGTCCAACTGACAGTGCCTTTGCCTTACAGAAACTTTTCAGTTTCATGAGGCCCTGCACTATCGGTGTTATGTTTAGCAAGCTGTCTCCTGTGACAATTCATCCAGTGCTGTTCCCGCTTTCTCTTCTATCAGGTTCAGTATATCCGGTTTTATATTGAGACCCACTTGGACTTGAGATTTGTGCAGGGAGATAAATACAAATCCACTTGCATTCTTTTACACATAGACATCCAGTTTGACCAGTACCATTTGTTGAAGATGCTTTCTTTATTACAGTCTGTGTTTCTGGCTTCTTTATCAAAAAGGTGTCTATAGGTATGTGGACTTACAACTGTCTAGGTCTTTGGTTCAATTCCATTGATCAGGAGATGTCTGTTTTTATGCCAATCCCACACAATTTTTATTACTTTAGCTCTGTAGTACAACTTGACATCAGGGACAGTGATATCTCAAGCAATTCCTTTTGTTGAGCCAATTGTTTTAGATATCCTGGGTTTTTGTTTTTCATATGAAGTTAAGAATTAATCTTTCAGGATTTGTAAAGAATTGTGTTGGCATTTTGACAGGGACTGAGTTGAATCTGTATATACTAACTCTTTAGCATATACCCAAAGTATGCTCCATCATACCACAAGGAGACTTAATCAACTATGCTCATTATGGCTTTATTCAAAATAGCCAGAAACTGGAAACAACCTAGATGTCCCTCAACTGAATAGATAAAACAAAATGGGTTACATAAAGACAATGGAGTATTACTCAGAGGCTTAAAACAAAATGACATCATGAAATGTGCACATAAATTGATGGAACTAGGAAAAAAAAAAAAAAACATCCTGAGTGAGGTAACCCAGACCCAGAAAGATAAATATGGTGTGTATTCACTTGTAAGTGGATATCAGCTGTTAAGTAAATGATAATCAAGCTATAATCCACAGGCCCAGAGAGGTTAGGTAAAGAAGGCTATGGGGGGGAAAAAGCATGAATCTCCCTGGGAGGGAGAAATAGAGCAGATTTTATGGGCAGAAGGGAAGGTGGGAGCTGGGAGCCAGAGTGATCAGGTAGGGAGGGGAGATGGGGCGGAGGAAGAGAGTTTGAGGAGAGACAGCTGGAATTGGAAAGCATTTGCGAGGTGGTGTGGAAACCTGGTGCAGTGGAAACTTCCTAGAGTCTGTCAGTGACCCCAGTGAGGGCTCCTAATAATGGAGGGTATGAAGTGTGAATTGGTTATCTTTGGTAGGCAGGCAAGACTGGGTTACGTTCGGTTGAGTTGTTGGCGGAGGAGATCCTATGGAGATCCCTAAACACCCAGGCTGATGCTAGGACAGCAGGTTGCCCTTTCAAAACTGGTAACAGGGCCCATTTGCTGAGGACAACTTCTATTCAGATCACTGAACATAGAGAGGTTGAGCTGGTGCAGGTTTGGAGCCTTCATCCTTACGCCCTAGTCTCTTTGGCATGAGAAGGTACTCTGTAGGCTACAGAAAGAGAAACCTGGACACCAATCCAGGCACAAAACTCTCCACCTACAATCTGTCCTACCTGCAAGATGTGCTGGGGCAATTGTTGCACAAAATATGTGGGAGTGGCCGGCCAACCAATGACTGGTCCAACTTGAGGCCCATGCCACAAGAAAGGAGCCCATGCCCAACACTACTTAGATGGCCAGAAACTGGAGACTGGATAGCCCAGGAACCTACAGTAGGACCAAACATGACCAATGAAATGAAATGATCCCTGAATGATATTCTGTTATACTCATAGTTTGTCCAGTCTCCAGAGAGGCTTCCTCTGGCAGCAGATGGGAGTGGGTGCAGAGACCCACAGCCAGACATTATACAGACAGTGAGTCTAAACTGAAGGTCCTTCCCCTCAGGGATGGGTGAACCCCAAGTAAAAGGGGAAGGAAAAATTAAGGATTGGACTGCACCAGGTCCTCTGCATATATGTAATGGCTGCTAGCTTGGTGCTTTTGTGGGACTCCTAAGAGGTGGAGTGGGGGTATCTCTGACTCTTTTGTCTGTTCTTGAGAATCTTTTCCTCCCATTGGGTTGCCTTGTCCAGCCTAATAAAGGGCTGTATTATATCTCGTTTTGTCTTGTTTGGCTGCTGTCCTGTGGAAGTCTGCTCTTTTCTGAAAAGGAAATGGAGCGGGAACGAATCTGGGGGAGAGGAGAGGGAGGAGGGAGCTAGGAGTGGAAGTAGGGCAACTGTGTTTGGGACGTACTGTATGAAAGAAGAATCTACTTCAGCAGAGAAGAAAAAAAGAGTCAGAGTAAGATAATGCGCCAAGGATCAAATCCATACTGGCTAACAGAGGATCCTCTCCTCATTTACTAACCGAGCAAGAACAGTTATTATTTGATGGTCTCTATGGTGCAAAGAAACCCATTCTGAAGGTTTAAAAAAAAGACACAAAAAAAACCATAAAATTTATGAGTCAGGATTATAACTCACTTCTAGTCTAGAAAACAGATTAGGCAAAATATAAACAACCAGTAATAAAACATACACAGGAAAACTGGAGCAGGATAAGCTACTTATAATGGCTGATACAAATTTACCAAAACTTAATAAATAATTTCAAAATTTCATATGCTTTGAAATCATGAAAATTAGCTAAATACTTACTTGTAAATACCACTACCAAAATGATTGCCAGGTCAATGAAGAGAAACTGAAAGTCTCCCAGGTTACTCAGGATCTAGAACAGCAATTGTGAAAGTTTAAGAGTGTTTTCATAGCACTTTGCCAGGCTATAATCTTGTTTTTCCCCAAGAATGACACCTTCAAAATGATACTTGAACCTGCTCAGAAACTGAAACACATTTGCCTTTGAAATTAATAACAGTAACAATCATTGCATAACTTTGGCCGAATATTAGTACAAAAAGTTTAACTTGAAAATATTCAACATTCTAATCCTCAGTGTTCTCAAATGTCAGTATCTTTAAGTTTCTTCATACTTATGTCTTCCCTTCTGATACACTCTGTAAATAGTAAAAAGGGAATGTTCACAGAGATACCTTTAGGATGTTAGTGTCAATCAGTAGGAACTCTACAGTGAGATCATGTCAACCATAATCTAATAGAGTAACCTACTGTAACTACTGTGACATTCTTCTCCACATTCATAAAGTTCTATCAACTATTACTGAAATGTCTTTCTTTTTCTGTAAATACACAGCAAAGTTAACTACAACTGTGACTATAACACAGAAGGCATACATCTTTAGACTTCAGGGCCGTCCTCAACCACATAATGAATTTGAGACTAGCCTACAAACATAAAATCCTGTCCAACACAAGCAAAACCAATCTGTACTACAGACTACAAAGAACAAAATCAGCATTTCTTCTCCACAAAGCTGTAGCCATGGGTGCAGGCTTTAAGGAACATGTGTCCCAAATTAATGGCACTGCTATTCAACTCCATTAATACATGGTAATTTTATACACACTTCGTAAGTTTCAGGTTCAATCAATGTATTCAAGATCAATGACACATGCTCGATACCTTTGGTGCCTGACCATTAAGACCATGTCTGTGTGGTACCGGTACTCACAGAATAAAGGAGAGTAACACTGAAGTACTGTATGATGCTGTATAATGCCATGAATTTAAACACACAGAAAGACGTCATTAAAGCAGCACGGCCTTCCCTGCAAATAGAAATGTTGGCATGAGATTAACAGCACCTTAAGCCTGTCCTTCAGAGCACAATTCCATGACAGACGAACATCAACATTCACAGCTACAATGAAGTTCTTGGATACCAAAAAAATTATGCCACAACACAAAAGCATCAATCTGTTATAGATCAAATACACTGCTGAACATTATAACAAGTTTATATTGCACTTTATGATACTTTACCCTATTATATTTTAAGCACAAGCTAGAACAAAATTATAAACCTCAGCCAGGAATACTAGCTCTCACATCTATATTCATTCATAGCCACTGGGGAGGCTGAGAATGGGGGATCATACAAGTTCAAGGCCATTCAGGCTACATAGTGAATTCCTGGCCAGCCAGTGCTACAAAGTGGGATCCCATCTCAAACTACAGAGCAGGTGCTAAGGGGGTGCACACATGCTAAGGGGGCTGGAGAGATGGTTGGACAGTTAGGAGCACTGGCTGCTCTTCCAGAGGATCCAGCGTTTGATTCCCAGCACCCACATGGAGGCAACTCACAACTGCCCGGACTCTAGTTCCAGGGGTCCAGATGCTCTTTTCTGGTCTGCTTAGACATCAAGCACACACATGGTAGCGGTGCTCAGACTTCCACGCAGGCAAAACACATGCACGTTTTATTAAGGTCTCCTCAAAAAAAAAAGGGGGGGGGCGTGGAATAGACAGAAAGAGAAAGAAAGATCCCAATCTCCATTACCTGATGAGGTTTGGCACGCAGGAAATACTAGGTGTCTTAGAAGTAAAGGGAGATGCCACGGAAGCTTCAAGCTCAGACAAGGAAATCCCACCATGTGCCCTCTTCAAAGCCTAATTGTTTCAAGAAAACTGATTAAATTTTGTGACTATAACTCAGGCTAAAAAAAGAACTACCAAAAAAACCCACAAAAACTTTACTTACACCACAATCATTTGCACCATCACCGCACATCCCAACAAAGTAACTAAGAAAAAAGAAGTTTAAGATTTTATTACAACTCCCATAGAAAGCAGTGGATTCTCCAGCACAGAGTCACAGAGAGCTAATGGATAATGAGTTGACACACTAGACGACCCCGACAGGACAGTCTACTGACAGCACACTGGGCTAAAAGCAGAAAGAGCTGAGTAACTTATGTCTGTCTGTACATGAACAAATGATTTTGGTGTCTTGATTTCCTGACCTGTAGAGCAAAGACTTCTCCCTTAGAAAGTTCAAACATTACTGGTTACTAAAACTCCAGAGCCAGGAACCAAGTGCATTTGTGTGAATCTATAAACCCAGAACTTGGGAGAATCAAGAGTTCAAGGCTAGCTAAGACATTGCCTTCAAAACAAAAATACCCCAAAAGTCAAATTATAAAGTCACCTCTTTCACTATACACCCACACATATACAAGTAGCACTAAGTGGACTGAGTAGGTTGAAGAAAGGAAGAAAAAACCCATGAGCCTAGGAGGCAGAAGTAGAAGGAGAGATGGGGGGATTGGAGGGAACAGGGAGTGAGTGGGGCTTGCTTATAACAAACTATAAGCACATACATGAATTTCAAAGGAAAGAGCACTGAATTAATGATCTTTGTGTAGGTATAACCTTAAGAAAGCATTGTGATATTTTACTTCAGCTAGACAAACATGCAGGTGAGCTTGTTTTAAAAAAAAAGTTCGCCGGGCGGCGTTGGCACAGGCCTTTAATCCCAGCACTCGGGAGGCAGAGCCAGGCGGATCTCTGTGAGTTCAAGGCCAGCCTGGTCTATAGAGCGAGATCCAGGACAGGCACCAAAACTACACAGAAACCCTGTCTTGGAAAGAAAAAAAAAAAAAAAACAAAAAAAACAAAAACAAAAGCAAAACCCATAAAGTTCTTACCTATCTTATAGGTATGAATGCCCCCCCCCCCCCTCTCCTCTCTCTCTCTCTCTCTCTCTCTCTCTCAGGTAGGAATGCCTGCCTCTCTCTCTCTCTCTCTCTCTCTCTCTCTCTCTCTCTCTCTCTCTCTCTCTCACTCATACACACACACACAACATATCTCATCTGTTATAAGAAGTATTTCAGATTTTTGGAGTTTTTCATATTTTGGAATGTTTGCTTCAAATTCTATTCTGACACTCAAAAAGTTTCAGATTTTGAAACATTAAGGATGCTAAACTTATACATAAGAAATATGAATTACTATTCTGAATTTGAAAATGAAATTACAATTCATGAGGGGGGGGACCAAGAAACCATAAAAGTCCATGACTACGTACTCTACATTCTGCAATGCTTCTACCAACTGTGTCTTCTGATCCGGCGCCATTCGCGCAAACACGGTGCCATGCAGCATCAACTAGAAAACAAACACAAATCGTTAAAATGCCATTCACAGTAAGCTCATGAAAACATCCATAAATTCACAGTACTTACCTTGGGAACAAGATCTTGAAAATGTTCCAGTATCACTGAAAATGACTTTCCATTCATCGCAAAATGAAAGCGAGTAAACTGAAGATCCTCTAAGCTATCACGGGCAAGTTTAATTGGAATATCCTGTACATGAGACATTCAGAACAATATTCAGGCAGTCATACGAAGAAATATAGTTCTTATGTTCAATATACTTATTCCAAGATTGGATTCTTTCACATTATATATTATACATATCATTAAAATCTTAGGATTTGCTGAGGGGTGCCTCACACCTTTAATCCCAGCACTTGGGAGGCAGAGGCAGTCAGATCTCTGAGTTCGAGGCCAGCCTGGTCTACCGAGGGAGACCCAGGACAGCCAGGGCTACACAGAGAAACCCTGTCTCAAAAGGAAAAAAAAGCAAACACACACACACACACACACACACACAAAAAAAAACCAACAATGACAACAACAAAAAAAAACCTTACCATTTATTCAAAAAGGAAAAAATCAATATTAAGGTTACCTAGAATATTCATTTAAAAAAAAAAAAAGAAAGAAAGAAAAACTATGATTATAGGCAGTACACCTATAATCCCGTCACTAAAGAGGTGATGACAAGATCAGCTTCACTTTGAAGTGATCTGAGAACTGCTTTTTTTTGTTTCTGTTTTTTCCAGACAGGGTTTCTCTGTGTAGCCCCGGCTATCCTGGAACTCGCTCTGTAGACCAGGCTGGCCTCCAACTCACAGATATCTGCCTGCCTCTGCCTTCCTGAATGCTGGGATTAAAGGCATGCACCAGACCAAGAATTGCATTTTTACGGACTACCTGGATCGTTTACTACTGATTATGATTAAAAATGGGGTATTTGGGATTCTTACATTTTCAAACTATGGTTCTCAATTTTGACTAAATATAAAAATTTAAACATTCAGATTCTTATGCTAATGAATCAGAATCTCTGGAGTGATAGTCCTTGAGTCTATTTTCAGTTTTTGTTAATACTGGGTTTTCCTGTACCATCTTTTTTTTTCCATACTAAATTCAAATAAGCAAATTCAAAAAGACAATATAAATATTACCTCTGAGTCAATTGCTGATGATTCATTACACTGTGTCAGGGAGTCTGCATAATGCCAATTGATCTTTAACAACCTTCCCATCCTTTGGAGGTAATGCTTCAGCAATAATAACTTTATCCTGAGGTAGAATCATTCCACAGTCTCTGGCCACAGAGACAGCTGTCAACATGTTGTCACCTAATTTTCCGAAATATTTAAAACACATTAAGGTTGAACAGGAAACATGGATGTGAGGAATGAGTACTAGGCATCTCCTACAGTGCCTATGGCTGGCAGAACAGACCGAGAATAAAGAGGGCCCACAAGATGGCTCTGCTGGAAAAGGAGCTCTGCTGCCAGCCTAGTAACCCGAGTGTGAGTCCCAGCTCTCACACGGAAGTGAAACTGACTCCTGTAAGCTAATCTCTTGACGCCCACACATACATACATACAAACCCATAATACGGAAAAGAAGTGTAATTTTAAAAATTCTAATCTTAATTCTGACAAACACCTGGTAATCACTTTCTATTTATATGTCAATATTAAAATAAATTACAAACAATCCCCAAAATGAACAAGGCATGCACTTATTCCTCAGGATTTTATATTACAGCACAAGAAACATTTACAGATAATTCACACAAGGCAATGTACAACATGTGGTACAGGAAACAGAATAAAAAGGAACAGAATTAAAATGTTTCAGTTTCTCCTTCACTACTGTTCTATATTTTCTATAAACAGGTTTTGTTAGAAATCAAAGCAAGGATTATAGTCATCTTATTATCTTGGAAAATTATGTAGAGTTGAAATAGGACAATACATGGTAGAGCCACTAAATAATGTGTTTTCATAAATGACACACAACGTGAGCTCCACATCACACTCACCTGTGACCATGACAGTTCGAATGTTGGCTTTATGCAAATCTTCAAGTACTGCAGGGGTTTCCTGCTTTAATTTGTTCTGCATTATAATCAATCCCATAAAATCCATGTTGTTTTCAATGGCATCTCTGAAGAAAAGAATTAATACACAATGGTTTAGTTTGGCTGAAAGATTGACAGCAATCTAAAATACATAAATCTAAAATATCTTTAAGTTATAAAGTAAAACACTCACATGCTGAATGAACCACATTTATATGTACCAGTTCACTATCTCCAAAAACTTAAATCTCAAAAATAATTTCCAAGCAATGTTTTAATATATTGAAATACAAATTAACCTGATATGAAATACAAAGATCATCTGGAAATATCTATCTTTGTAAACATTAATCGGTTCTGGCACTAAGGCATATTAATATTTTATACAAAAGGATAAAAGCACAAATCTGTGTCCTTCATGAAATATAGCCAAATTTAAATGCTAAGGGAAGGCATACCAGAAGTATATTAGCTATACCTATGATGGATTCATTACAGATGTATCTTTTAGAATAGTGATAACCAAGAGTTATCACAATGTTACTCTTTCAATAACTGATTATCTACTATGCTGGTGCATATCCCTAGGTCAAATATAAAGACATTTCTCTAATAGATGTTTGTAAAAACATTCTTTAGCACTATCATGGTGACAAAGTCTGTTCAATGAACAAAACTGTGACTCTGTCTTGACTAGTAAGTCTCAAGCTACAAAACTATACCATAGACACAGTTTTAATCAACTGGGAAAGAAAGCCTTAAGTTACCAACTAAAAACTCGGATATGAAATCACCAAGTGATTTATCAACAACAGGAATGAGGTATAGCTCAGCCAGGAAAGTGCTTGCCATGAAAGCGCGAAGATCTGATCTGAATCCCCAGCAGACATGTAAGAAGTCAGGCTTGGCAGTGCACAACTGTAATCCTAGTGCTGGGGAGGCAGAGTCAGGAGGAGCCCTGAGGCTGGCTAGCCAGTTAGCACTGGTGAACCGGGCAGTTCCAGGGTTAGTGAGAGACTGACTGTTCTCAAAAACCAAAGTGGAGTGCAATAGAGAAAATGCCTACCACTGACCTCTGCCCTCCAAACACGGAGACCCAAGCACAAACGCAACATGGACAATTTCAACAATAGTGAATTATTATTATTTAACAATTGTTATCCATGAAACCTAACTGTCTTTTAAATACTTAATTCATAACAAACGGTAAAGACACTGCAGGGGAAAGAGGGAGGGAGGGGAACCCTTGAGATCTGACTGTGTTCAAAACACAGTTGAAACAATGTGAAAGTACTGGGTTAGTAAGCATTGACCAGTTAGTCTCCCACTGGGCTCTCAATTCTGGATTCAGCTGATTTCCAATGAACTTAACAACTCTAAAATGTAAAGGTTTAAATAATAAGAGAATGGTAAAAATCTGTTCCTATGAGGCAAAACACAGAGACGGTCTAAAAGAAGAGAACAGACAAAGTTAACAAGGAGGGATAGGGTATTCTGATTAAAAGAAACACCTATTCAAGGGAATGGAAAGCTCTCTGAATAGAGAACTACAGACTTAAGAACTACAGGTGACTGAACAATTAGTCTTTGAGGGACAATGGCAAAAGGTGACATTATAAGAGTAATGTGTCTTTTTCTGGAATGAGGACATACCCATGGTTTTCAGTGTGATTTGTGTATCAGTTCACTAGGTTTTAGTTTTTGTACATATGTGTTTTCCCTGCATGTATGACTGTGGTGTGCCTAGTGCCCACAGAAGTCAGACGAAGATCCTGGATCCCCTGGTACTGGGATCATGAGTGGTCCTGAGCCACCATATGTGCTAGAAACCAAACCCAGGCCCTCTGAAAAAGCAGCCAGTGCTGTTAACTTCTGAGCCCCATCTCCAGCCCCCTTGCTCTGTTTTTTTGTTTTTTAGTACATTTATATTCAGATCTCCAAAACAGGCAGAAGTATCAGGACAAACTATATTCCTTCCTGCTTACAAAATACTAAAACAGCCTAAAATATTAACAAAAGCACTGCCCTTAAAGGCTAAGTCCAGAACCAGAGAAGGGCGGGATGGCTGGTAACATCTGTCAACCTGACAATAACCTAGGATCAACTGGAGACAGGGCTCTGGGCATGCCTGTGGGGGGTTATCTTGTTGATTATGCTGAGGTGGGAAGACCTACCCACTGTAGGTGGTACTGTTCTCTGGCTAGGATCCTAGACTGCAGATATGGAGAAAAAGAGATGAGCAACAGCATGTATGCACACTTGTGTCTCCTGTGTGCATAGATAGAACTGGATGCTTCAAGCTCCCACTGCCTTGACTGCCCTGTCCTACCATAATGACTACACCTTGAACTGTGAGCTCAAAGAAATCCTTTGTTCCTCACATTGCTTTGTCAGGACTTTATTACTGTAGCCCCAGGAAAAAGAACTAAGTCAAATACAAAGCTGTATTTATACAGGAAAAGAAAAAGGTGTCAGCACTGTCATCTGACAAAATGGGAAAGAAAGCAGCAGAGAAAAACAGGAGAGAAAGACAGCAGCTATTATGACTCATGACACTCACTGCCGAATTTATATTTGGTTGCCACTGCGTGGTTTTAGGAATAATAAACAGACTCATTTATTGCTCCTAGAACATGCTTGGCACATAGTAAAAATCTGCTAACAAGCTGGAGGGATGTTTCCGTGGTTAAGAGCACATAGTCCCACTTTTAAAAGGGGACCCAACCAAATTCAGTTCCCAGCACCGACATCAGGTAGCTCACAACTGCCTGTAACTCTACCTCAAGGGGATCCAACACTCACTGCTGCCATCCATGGGCACTGCACTCACATATGCAAATCCACAGACATACAGATAACTTAAAAATCAAAATAAAAAAACAGATAACAATTTCACAAACTACAAGTACTTCCGGACTTCTAAAGTAAACAATTATTTCAAGAACATAAACTCAGGGGGAAAAAAAAAAATCAATAGAGTGGGGTGTGGTGGTATACAATTTAATCCCAGCATTGGGAGGCAGAGGCAGGCAGATCTTTGTCTTTGGAGTTCCAGGCAAGTCTGCTCTACACAGTAAATTCCAGGATAGCCAGGACTACACAAAGAAACTTGAAAAACAAACAAAAAAGAGCAATATCGAATGAAAGAAAAAAAAAACCCATAGTTTCACCTCAAACACTAACAAAGTTACAATATACACATTTCACACATTCAACCTTTAATAAATACATAACCACGTCATTACTGTACATGACTTAGAGGAATCTAAGTGATGCACTTTGGGAACTATAGGAAAGCCATTCAGCCTTACCTACTAACATGCTGTACTTTGTGCCATGTCAGTTTGGACTCCAGTTTCCTGTGTGCGAGAGCAATCACACGGAAGCCTTGTTTGGTGTAATCTTCTAAAACTTTCTCAAAATCAACTGGAACTTTTAAAAAGAAGAGGAAATTAATTTTAGAATTGCTAACGTAAGTTCATATAAACATCAGTTTTACCCAGAGCCTAGTCATTCCCTTACCTGTTTCAGGTTTACAAAGACTGGCAATGACCTCAGGGGCTCCTTTCATGTAGGCGTCCATTTTCTTGTCCCCTAGTACCCTTGCAACCACACTCATCCGTTGTAAAGCAGAAGAAAACGGGAACTGTCGAACAATTCCTATCTCATAAATAGCCTATTTAATTTCAAAAAAGGCACAAAGGACTTATTATTCTTTAAAAACAAAAGCAAATGTACTTATCTAAGAAGAAGAAAGCATCTTCACTTACTGGAAGTTCAAACAGCTCCTAAAAACAAGAGAGTAAGTACAGATTAATATATACCAGCTAGAAAAACTAAAACATCCACAAAATACATTTAGGAAGTAACAAGCAACTCTGAGTAAGTCAGAACCTAAGAGGCCCTCAGCACCACCCATGAAAAAGGAATGCTGTCACGGTGTAGCTTCATGGTATGACCACCCAGGCAGAATGCATATGGCCCGGGCTTCAGTTCCTAGCATAGGAGAGTGGGGATAAGATGGGAAATAGTATTCAACATTTTCATAAAAATACTGACACATTAAATGCTAAAATAAATGAGAGGAACACTTAAAAATTCATCTAAGAGTAAAACTACTAAGAGTGCCTTTTTATAAATTCTTTGTATGCAATTCTAGGAATACGGATGCATACTAAAAAGACTGACTATCACACGTATGAGTGGCAAAGGACAGAGGGCACTGGGAATTTAATTGCAACATTTTACAGAGTGCCTGTAACACATCAGGGGTAACCTTTCTGATAAGCTCAGTTAAAACACGTGTATCTTCATGGATTAATACACCCGACTCCCTCTCCTAGAGGTACTTCCAAACTAGAGTTAAAGTGACATCACACCATTTCTTGGTTTCCTGCAGCTGTAGACTCTGGAAGCAGCTGTTTGGAAGGACGAACCACAGTGGGCATAATCCGGTTATGAAGTGCTGTTTCTTCTTCAGTTGCTTCTTCCAAAATCTAAAAGGAAAACACTCAACATATCAGAAAATCCCATACTCCTTTCATTTTTAAGTGGTCCATTAAAGAAAAAAAAAAAGCAATTATTATCAAAGGACATGTGAACACTAAATTATTAACATAAATATATTTATTCTAACGTAAATAAAATAAAACATAAAAAGAGCTACTCAGATACCTGGCGACCTTTGGGTGAGGGGAGAAAGACCTTGGAAGTAGAATAAAGGAGCAAATATGAAGCCTGCTGTCTCCAGAATGAGCTGAAGGCACATGGTTATTACTTTTAAGTATTTTTAGCGTATAATACAGGAATTTCCTTTCTGCCAACAAATGTGTTCACAGGTGTACACTTGTAATCCCAGTACTCAAGAATACCGAAGCAAAAGAATCAGGAGCTTAAGGCTAGCCTAGGCTACATAGTGAGCTTGAGGTCAACCTTGACTACAGGAGAGCTTTTCTCAAGCCTAGACAGAGTTCAGATATGGTTAATAGAACACTAAGTAGAAAATAGGCTGTACTGGTCAGTATGTGATTTGAGAGCCATACCAAGAAATCATAAACACCTTTAGTTAAGCTACTAGAGTCATAACCTCTTGATTTACACTTTAAAAAAAATTATGTGTATGGGTATTCTACCTGCACATGTAATCTGTGCACCATGTGTGTACCTCATGCCAATGAAGGCAAAGAGAGGACATAGGATCCCTGGGACTGAGTTACAGACAGTTCTAAACTGCCACGTGGTACTGAGAATTGAACCTAATATTATGCAAGAGAAGTCAGTGCTCAAAAGCACTGGGCCATCTCTCCAGCTCTCAACTTTACTTAAAAATTTTTTTCTGGGTAAGATGGCACAAGGGTTGAAGATGCTTGCTATGCAGGCCTGATTATTTGCTTTCTGATCCTGGGATTTCCATAGTTGAAGAGAACTGAATGAACACACACACACACACACACACACACACACACACACACACACACACACCCCAATAATGCAGAGGGGGAAGAGAGAAAAAACAAACTTCAACTAGCTCAGCCTCAGATGATGTGCCTGGCATGAACGTGCCACCAACCTAGACAGAGCCTCAGCAAAAGTCTGCACTAAATACACACGGAAGAAAACTAAACTAATCTGACTAACTGGAGGAATCCATTAATGCAAAACATGAGGAAAACTTTTTAAACAATCAAATTTATACACTTCCACAACATACTTTCCCACATCTGACCATCTCAGAAATTGGGATGTATCTTAATGTCCTAGGACTAGTTTTAAGTCCAGTTTAAGAAGAGGGAACCACAACCAAGAAAATGTTGCTATCAGACTAGCCTGTGGGGCATTTTCTTGATTAATGATTAATGGGGGAGGGCCTGGACCCCATAGATGGTGCCACCTCTACGCAGGTGGTCCTGGGTGGTATGAGAAAGCAAACTGAAGCCAGGTGCAGGGGCGGGCACACATTGTTAATCCCAGCGCTTGGGAGGCAGAGGGAGGTGGATCTCTGTGAGTTCAAGGTCAGCATGATCTACATGAGTTTCAGGACAGCCAAGGCTTTGTAGAGACCCTGTCTCTAAAAAAAATAAAAATAAAGACAACAAACAGGCTGAGTAAGCCAGTAAGCAGCCCTCTTCCAAGGCCTCTGCTTTGGTTCCAACCTCCAGGAAGTTCAGTTTGGAGTCCCTACACCAACTTCTTTAAAGGATGAATGCCAGGTGAACTGTAAGCTCAAATAAACTCTATTCTCCCGAAACTGCCTTTGGTCATGGTTTCTTACCACAGCCACAGAAATCCTAACCAAAACAGAAATGAACACCAGGTTGTGGGGTGTGCTATGGCAGCCCTGACCATGTTTTGGAGAGGACTGTGGAAGGACTTTGGAGCTTTGGGCTAGAAAAGGCACTGAGCACTCAGAGCTCAGTGGCCAGTGGGGCCATTTATGTAATATTTTTAAATGAAGAAAATGGTTCTGGTCAGAGGAGCCGAATAATTGGCTGTAGTAACAAAAGCCCAAAACCACCTGGCAGAAGTAGTGCACATCTTTAATCCCAGCACACCAGAGGCAGAGGCAGAGAGATCTCTGTGAGTTCGAAGCCAGCCTGGTGTACAAAGTGAGTTTCAGAACAGCCAGAGATCTTACACAGAAAAATCCTGTCTCTAAAAACCAAAACCCAAAACAAAAAGCAAAGAGCAGAACCACTAAAGAGAAACCTTTGCTGGGACAACTGATGCTGGTCAGCTGGGACTGAGGAATTAGCAGTGATTAAAGAGAGACCAGAATCACTGAGTCTTCTGGGACTATTTCCTCAGGGTCAGCAGGGTGTAGTCCAGGGTGGGCAAGGCTGCATCTCAGGCTGACACCCCAAAATTGGTACTATGTTAGAATCACTTAGGTGGTGCTTGTTTTGAAGACATGAAGGGGGTCAGGGAGAACAGCTGAGGCTTGGCACTGTGGTGGAGATGGAGTTTGGGGGGAGGGGCTGGGAGAAGCTACTGGTAAAAATACAGCCCAGTACCACAGAGTCTAAGGGCTCACTCCGATACTCAGGAGGTAAAAGCAGGATATCCTCAGCTATACAGCTGTGCTTAAGATGAGTCTATGTTACAAAAAAAACCTGTTTCAAACTTACCCATCCAATGGCTTCAAACATTTTCAAATCGAGTGGGTCACCAGAAAGTACACCTTCAATTTTTGTAAGTGAATGACAAGTAGCCATGCAAGCAACGAATTGAGATTTTACCAATGTCTCGCTGCAAACATTGTCTTCCGGTAAAAGAAATCTAAACAGAGAATACACACCGAATTAGGTTTGCAAATCTCTAGACTCAAACCAATATTCTAACATCTTTTCAAATTTGTAATTAAAAAAAAAAAATCAAACTAGGCATGGTAGAGATGACCTGTAATCCTAGCACTTGAACCAAGGAGTTCAAGGTCCAACCGAAAATTACAGTAAAATACATGAAACTCCATCTGTAATTACCTATGTTATGCTAAGTGCAGTGATACGGGCACAGAAGAGGCAGAGGCAAAAGGATCAAGAGTTCAGTCAGCCTTTTCCACACAGTGAATTCAAACAAGAGTAAGACAGTAAGAGACTGCTGTCTGAAAACCAACTGACGGCTGGGGTTCAGCCCACTGAAGGCTGGGGTATAGTTCTGCAGTAAAGAGTCACACCGTTAGCAAGAATAGGGTTGACTCTGACCCTCAGCAGCAACACAAACACAAATCCCTGCCATTAAAAAAAAAAACAAAAACAAAAACATGCAAACTATGTAGTATTTACTAGGTACCAAGAACTCTTCTAGGACTGTTATAAACCAACTCATTACATTTGCTTTGTTTACCCCAGAGGCTGGATATTGAAGTCATGACAACTGGGGGGAAAAAATGTCCAAAAGGAGAATTTTAAAATTAGAATTAGAAGAGACGGAGAGATGGCTCATTGGCTAAGAATGCTTGCTCTTTGAATCTCCACCACCCATTTAAAAAACAAACAAACAAACAAAAACAGATATGTTTTTCCCATGCCTGCAACCCCAGCATTAGGGAATTGAGACAGGTGGATCCCAAGAGAGGAATGACCCAGCCAACCTGGCTAAAATGGTGATCTTTGGGTTTAGTTAGAGACCATGTCTCAAGTCGGTAAGGTAGGAAGCAGGAGGAAAACACCCTGTGTTCTGCTCTGTGCATGTGCATCAGCTAGGGTACACACACTTGCACACTCACACATGCACCATACACACAAACATTACTCACACATCATGGGAAAGAAGATCTAGAAAGAAACAAATGCACATTCACTAAGGATTCCCAGATGGAAAGAAAACAGCGCATACGGGGAAAGGGAATAACAGAATAGTAAGAGGCTAAAAATGCACCAGAAGTTGCAAAACTATGAATCCTTGGAATCGAGAAGCAAATGAATGAAGCGAATGTAGCAAATGTAGGTCAGTGTCAGAGTGCTCGACCAGCATGCACAAAACAAGGCTTTAGGTTAAATCACTAACAAAATTTTTAAAAGCAAAAAATGAGTCCTGGAAAATAGAAAAATAACACACTGATCAGGGCAAATATTTCTGAAATATATTTCAAAGCAACTAAGAGAGAAGATTACTGGAATGAATGGGGCTTCTCAGTAGCAGTAACAAAATGTGCCAGGGGAAATGGAGTGGTCAGCCTAGAAACGGTCAAACAGCTGGGCAGGAAAATGAGTTCGCTCATCTCAGCTAGCCAGTGAGTTAGAAGCCAGCCTAAGTGAACAAAGCAAACCATCACCAGAGTGAGGAAACACCCCAGAGAAAGAGGGAAAACCTTTGCCAACTACCTCAGACATGCAAGTAACTACAGCAATTCAACACCAAAATAGCAAATCACTTTATCAATAAATCAGCTAATGAAATAAAAACAGTTCTCAGAAGAAATATGGGCCATTTGGCCAATAAATACTTGAAAAAGTGTTCAAAATCTTTTGCCTCCAAAGAAATGAAAATCACAACTATATTTGGGATTATAGCTCATACCCAGTCAGAATGGCTACCATCGACAAAACCACCAGCCAATGATGGTGAAGATGTGAGAAGAGGAGAGAGAAATCTTAAATATCTTTATTGGTGGGGACATATACTTGTTCAGCAACTACAAAAATCAGTAGGAAGGTTTCTCAAAAATTAAAACATAGAATTACCACAAAGCCCAGCTGTAACACTCCCACTCTTGGATATGGATATCCAACATAACACAGAAATTCTTCAACTTCCAGGCCAGGCATGGTGGCCCACACCTTTAATCCCATCAGAGGCAGGAGGATCTCTGTGAGTCAAAGGTCAGCCTGGTTTACATAGATAGATTCCAGGACGGCCAGGGTCACACAGTGTTAAAAGAAAACCAAATACTTTAACACCCATGTTTGTTAAGACATTATTCACATCATTCACATTATTCACAACAGCTAAGAAATGGAACCACCCACATATCCATCAACACATGAATGGATAAAAAAATGTTCTACAGGTACACAATAAAACTTATTCAGTCAAAGGAAACTTACATCATCAGCACATTTATAAGAAAATGGATGGAACAGGAAATCATTATGTAAAGCAAAATAAGCCAGACTCAGCAAGACAAATCGCACTTTCTCTCATATGAGGTGTCGAATTTTAAAATTGTGTGTATGGGTGTGTGAGTGCGCATGTGCATGTGTTTAACATGTGAAACCAGAAAAAGGTCCATGAGGGGGAGGAAGAGATCTTACGATGGGAAGAGGGTCACGTCATACATGAGACAGGGAAGCAGGGGAGAAGGAAGCACGCATCAGGAGGTGGCCTCACGGGGAGCAATGGGACAGAGGACAAGTGAGAAAAACACCACAATGAAATCCACTGCTCTCTATGCAGACTGAAGACAACTGCAGACAGCCCGGCTTGGGGTAATGGTGCTTGCCCCACAAACCTGATGGGCCACCAGGTCGGACAACCGGAGCCGGAGTTCCAGCCCCACATGCGGGAGGAAAGGAACACACACCTACAAGCTGTGCTCTGACTACATGCCCACACCTGCGCGTGCGTACGTACACACACACACACACACACACACACACACACACACACACACACACACTCACAAATAAATTTTAAAAGATATCTGAAACATACACATGTATGTTTATATTTAGCAGGTATTTATTCTTGGTGATAGGTACACAGTTGTCTATTATGTTAGAATGCTCAATATGCTAAAATGTTAAAAATTAACTGGACTAATGATCTAGAAAAATCTAGCTAATATTTACCGGGTATTTTCCACTCGTTGAATTCCCCACAGATCTAAGCCATCTTCAGTAAGAGTTCCAGTCTAAAAAAAAGTACACATATACAAAGTAAGGACAATACCTAACAAAATTAAAACAAAATAAAATGCCAAGACTCACACTAAGAACAACTAAGTACATGTACACAATGCAGAGGAACAGAGCCTGAGGAAAGAAGGAGGCGGAGCTCATATACTGCCAGGGTATGAACTGTGCAAAACGTTACCTGCACAAGAAGGCACCTCCTCGTGTTAACTGTATTTATCCGTGTGCTGACACCATAAACAAAGCACACCAGTTAACTTACCTACCTACTAACAAGCAGTGGTGCTGGTGTAACGGCAGGACAGATTACTAGACAAGCAGCCAAGAAGAAAATTTAAACACCAGAAGGAAGCTAATAGTTAAAACCCAGATAAGAAAATGACCGCTTTTCTTCAACAAAATGGTTGGGGATTCAATAAAATCATAGAACATTAAATACATGTATTTATGAGTAATTAAAAAAACATAGTAAATACATATCCAAAGAGACTATTTATTACTTTAGCATTACCTAAAAATACAAAAGACCATGAAATTTTTATTTACTGCCACTATATCTTAAAATTTTTTAATTTTTTAATTTGTTTTTATGTGTATGGGTGTTTTGACTACATATACGTCTGTTCGTCCTGTGCATGCTCGGTTACCATGGGAGGCCAGAAGAGGGTACCAGATCCCCTGGAACTGAAGTCACAAAAGGTTGTGAGGGGCCACATGGATGTTGTGAATCAAACTCGGGTTCTCTGGTCCTCTGCAAGAACAGTCAGTGCTCTTAAACACTGAGCATCTCTCCAGCACCCATATCTCTTAAATTTTATTACTAACAGACACTGAGGTAGAGTCCATGTTGCCCAGATGGCCTGAACTTGTGGGCTCAAGCTATCATCCCACCTCACTTTCCCAGATGCTAGAACTACAAGCATGCGGTTTCCCTGAAAAAGGTGGGGGGAGGGATGCTGGAGAGATGGCTCACTGGGTTAAGAACACAGGCTGTCCTTCCATAGGACCTGGGTTCAATTCCCAGCACCTACATAGTGGCTCACACCTGTCTGTAACTCCAGGGGCCTTCTTCTAGCCTGTGGGCACTGCACAAACGTGTTATATAGACAAAGATGCAGGCAACACACACATGCAGATTAAACAAACAAACAAGTAAATAATGAGGTAGGAGCCAGACATGGGGGTGCATGCTTTTAATCCTAGCACTCAGGAGAGCAGAGGAAGGCAGATCTCTTGAGTTGGAGGCCAGCTTGGTCTATACCAATGAATTCCAAGTCAGCCAGGGCTATATAGTGAAAACCTGTTTCAAGAAAGAGAGGTGAGGAGTGGAGAAAAAATATTTCAAAATCTGTATACGCTAAGTAACTGGGAAAGAGGAAAACTACAAAAATATTAAGGGCAAATTAATTCATAAAGGAAATATAAACATAATTATTTTTTTTTAATTTATTTAAACATAATTATTTAAAAGTAACCCAGTAAGGATGATGAAGTCAACCAACCTTGTCAAAGCAAACAAGGTTCAGCTGTCCACAGATATTTATCCTTTGGGGACTGATACAGAAAATCCCCACTTTTTTCAGTCTTCTCTGAGCATATACGATCCCAGCAGTCATTGCAGCAGGAAGTGCAGGTGGCACAGTAATTGTAATGATATCAAGAGACTTAATAATTATTTCCTGAACTTCTTTCTACAATTAAATAAATATACATAAAAATAAATGTCAAACAGTATTCAATTTACTAATTTATGATAAAATAAACACTATTTTTGTATTTATATAAGTATATACATCCATCTATTATTGACATAACTTTTCTTCATTCAGAGATTTTGTAAAAAAAGGGCTGAGGTATATAAACGCTAACCTAGCATGTTTGAGGCCCTAGGTTCAAATCCCAATGCCGGTAGGGAATTCTTATCAAACAGAAGGTTCAGTGAGCCATCCAAACGTACTAACAGAAGAGCAGCTAAAAGAGACAAGTATTTACTCTTAGAAACAGCTGGCTCATTTGAACAGCTTGCACTCTTCACATGACTACCTTCAAACCAAGTAGAAAACCTTATCTGATACCATCTCATCCTACAAGCACCTGGACAGTCTCCATGGAAACTAGAAACCAATGAGGCATGGCCTCTTACAAGTGTTTAGAAATAATTTTGGTAAGCCAGGAATGGTAGTGCACACCTGTAATCCCAGCACCCAAGAGGCAGAGTTAGGAGCAGAACATAGCTAAATAAACAAAACAAGGTATTATCATATATATTATTTTAATTTATTCCACAAATAAGAAAAGGCTTTTGATGTATGCTTTACATCACAGAAAGTACCAGACATGCTGAAGAATTATATGCTATAACAGAAATGTTTTATACTTGTGGGTTCTGTTGTTGAGACAGGGTCTTGCTATACAGCCCAGGCTGTCCCAGAACTTTCAATTCTCCTGCCTAGGCCACCCAATATATTTTTGCTTTCTAATATAATAGAAACTAGTATCATAGTTTTCTTCAGTCACATGGGAAATAATTAAGGACCAAACCTATCAAAAGTTACATACCTTATTTAAAATGCTATTGATGATTGTGTAGATGAACCCAATGCCAGCCACCACCACAAGACACAGTAGAAACAAGTAGGCATCTCTATAGAGTTTAAAGTCAGTTGGCTTGGGATACAGTATAGAACGAACAAGCTGTCCTTTGGAAGTACTAAATCCTGTTCTAACTACTATGGCTTTCACAAGTTCTCCAGTGTAGAAACGGGTCTGAATAACAGTCGTCCCACAGAACAGTGTGTGCCGCTTGTGTGTCTCTGGGCTATAGAGCTCCTCCCCCGTTCCTTTTACATCCACTGAAGGATTTGGCAAGTTAGTCTTTGTCACTGGAACACTTTCGCCTGTTAAGAAAATCAAATATTAAAAAAAAATCAATGTCAAATACATATTGAAAAGAGTGAAATATTTGAAATGTTAATAGTACTGTTTATAATAGTTAATAACTAACTGCTCTGTATATGGACAGTATAGTACAATCAATCATCTTTTTTCCACCAATTGGTTCACTGAGAAATACCAAGCTGTTCCCCACAGTAATTTCAAAGTAATTCATGTTTCAGAAATAATGCCTGCCATTATTTGAAAATTGTTTTTACTGACCTTCAAAACACTTCAAACACCAAAGAAAACATACTTAAGCAGAGCTAAGAAGTACTGTTACTATCAGTAACCAGTAGTGTCATGACATCTTTAATCCCCAAAAGACAGAAAATATCTCAGTAACACAGAAAATTTGGGCAAGAGAGAAAGAAAAAGAATGAGTAATATGAGGTTCTTTCTTTTTGTCATTTAATTCTCTATAACATTCAAATCTCTTCAAAGACAGCAAGAATGTAGAAATATGTGTGACATTGTGTGTGTGTGGTTTTTGGGTTTTGTTGTTGTTGTTGTTGTTTTGTTTTTTTTTTTTGGTTTTTCGAGACAGGGTTTCTCTGTGTAGCTTTGCGCCTTTCCTGGATCTCGCTCTGTAGACCAGGCTGGCTTCAAACTCACAAAGATCCGCCTGGCTCTGCCTCCCAAGTGCTGGGATTAAAGGTGTGCGCCACCACCGCACGGCGACATTGTGTGTTTTAAGCCTCTAAATATGTAGGAAATAATTTCTAGCCAGATTATAATTTAAAAATACACAAATTAAAAGGCAGACAGATCTACTTCTAGATCATCCATTTCCAGTAGAGTTACCTTAAAGTCTACTTCTTCCCAATTACAGAACATAAAGAAGCAATCTTATTCCCACCTTTCACTTAACGACTACAGAAGCAAATACACTGCAGTCTCTGCAGGACAGGACTCTTCCCTCTGCCCTTACTAGAACCATTTCCCTATGTCCAAGGAGTGGCAAGAAACAAGTCTAGGAGTATGGTCAGTACCGAAGTAGTGATTTAGCATTCGTTTTCAGCTCAGAATGTAGTATTCTCACACACACAAAATCACTGTCAATCACATTTATGAGTAAATGGTATGATTTTGAAAAAGTTTCAACAACTTAATATTAATAGCATCATAAATAGTAATCTTGATACTGGTGATTCTATTTACCTGTTAACATGCTTTCATTTACAATGCAAGTACCATTAATAAGTACTGCATCACAAGGCATGACTGTCCCATTTAATGGAATGATCATGACATCACCCGGCACCAGGTCTGTAGAAAAGATTTCTTCTATTTCTGAATTTGAAAAAAAGTTAGAAATTATTCTTCAGTTTGGAATAAAACACAGCAAATAAACTAATGACCTATCCAAAAGTCTCTTGTTCTCAGTAAGCTACTGATACAGTGGGTTAATACCAAAACTGTTACACATGGAGAGTCTCAACAAACAGGACTACATTAACAAAGCATCAAGGCTGGAGAGATAGCTCAGGGGTTAAGAGCACTGGCTGTTTTTTCAGGAGACCTGAGTTCAATTCCCAGCACCCACATGGAGCCTTACAACTATGTGTAAGTCCAGCTGCAGAGAATCTGACCCCTCCTCTGGCCTCCATAGGCACCAGGCATCAGGTGTATCAAGCAACTTGTGTCCTGACAAGATGCTGACTAAGCACAGGGGATAGATAGTGTGGCCTCCTGGAGATTCCTTCCATACACAATTTTTTCCATACATTAATTTTGGCTGTCTGCCATCTTAAAGTACAAGCCTAAGTCCACACAGGAAATTCTGTTGAAACAGGCAAAAGGAATTCAGATTTCTGTAATTCCACAGAAATAAAAGAAAACATGAAAAATTTACCATGTTTTCTTTTCAAACGTATTCTTTTCTTACTGTAACTTCTTATGCCTCATCCTTTCTCAATGTTTTAGTCCTTTTAAATTATTAAAATACAGCAAGTTGAATTTATAAAATATATAATATCATTTGATACATTATTTCCTTGAAAACTTAAATCAGGCATTTGAAATCCCAGCATTGAAAAGCCAAGACAATCACGAATTTGAGGCCAGCCTGGCAAGACCCGCTTTCAGGTTTCTGTACATGTAGAGAACTTAAAAACCTTCAAGCTGGGTATGGTGACTCTTTCCTGTAAAAATATCAAAACTGTTGAGCTGTCTGGTAATCCTAGAGCTTGTAGCAGCAAGATCAGAAGTTCAAAGTTATCTCCCCTAAATAACAAGGTCTAGGCCAGCCTGTGTGTGCTGTTAAAATACAGAAACAAAACACAAAAAACTTTAAAACGAAACAAACAACAAAAAATAATCCTACCAAAAATAAAAAGGATGGCAGCAAGTGTGGGAGCTTCTACTGGGAAGTGAGTGGGACGGAAACAAGGAAAGAAGGAAGACTGAATCACTTGGCTACAAGTCAAGAAAATAGAGCCTGAGGGCATGGTTCATACCTGTAATCCCAGCTACTTAGGAGACCAGGGTTGCTAATTTAATAATCCTATCTCAAAGAAGAAAGAAGAGAAAAAGGTGGGGGTATGTGGAGAATATGAAAAATGAAGACTGATTTTGAGTTCTGGAGAAATCAAAGTGGCTACTATATTATGCTATCTATCCTTCACTTCTTCAATGGACAGTTTCTAAGTTTCAAGCATTCTCCTTCCTACAATCATTGTTTCCTTTTTACTATGCACCATGTAACAATGCCAACATCCATCTACCCAGCTGCACAGATCAAGACTTCAATTATCACCAAATCTTGTTCAATGCCCACATTTCGAACCCACGTCCTTTCTTGTTAATGCTACAACCCTGTTATTGATGCCGGTGATGATGTCTTCAGCATTGTTCCCTGATAACCCTGTCTAAACATGGAAGCCAGAATTACTGGTTTTTGCAAAGGACAAACAGGATGGGATCTGCTTAAAGCTCTTTGGTAGCTTTCCAGCCTTTTGGACGCATCCAAATCCCTTAGAATTCTTCATCTACTTTCAGCACATGCCTTGCTGAATTCCAGCTTTTATGAAGAACACAGCCTTAACTTCTGGTCCCTGGGTACTTACCCTCTCCTCCTCTTACCACTCCTTACCCATCTTCAACTTGGCTAACTGAAATCATCATTCTTAGACTTTAAAAACCTCACCCGAATACTTAGAGTACTAGTGTTAAGGGCTCACTGTGCCCTCACAGCACTCACCACATTTTGTTGTTGTTTATCATGTTTTCCTAGAGTGTAGCAAAGTGCCTTTACACTGTACAACAAGATATTTACAACGTTATATAAAGGAGTTAACTGCCCACTAATCCAGGACTCTAAATGTGTATTTCCAATTCTGAAGAAGGAAGAAGGGGAAGTGAGAAGAAGTAATAACAGAGTTTGTGAGATGGGACAGAGTAACGGTGCTTGCCACCAAGCCTAATGACCTCACTTCAATCCCAGATAAATCCCACGTGGTAGAAAAAGGGATTCCCATGGGTTGTCTTCTGACCTCCATACATAGGCCACTGCGCGCGCGCACACACACACACACACACACACACACACACACACACACACACTTAAATAAACAAATGCACTTTTAAAAATATGCATATGCACAGACCAGATGGTCTTACTTTACACACGAGCATTTAATCGGGTGTTCTGTGTTCATTCACTCTGAAGTCCTTACCTTCATTTACTCTACAGACCGAAACTCTCACCGTACTGTGAGTTGCCACCATGTCATGTAACATAACATATTGCTGAAAGAAAAAAAAGAAAAAAACTAATAAAATACAAATCTGTTACACAAGATACCTGAAGAAAAAGAGAATACTCAATTACTGTGATCATTTTTGACTGTTCTGCCTCTATAAAAGGTCAAAAGTCAAGGGATAGGGAGATGACTCAGTGCTAAGTGCTTGCTACTTGTGGTGATCTGAATGAAAATGGCCCCCATAGGCCCACAGGGAGTAGCCCTATTGGGAGGTGTGGCCTTTGGGGCTTCAGATGCTCAAGCCAGGCCCAGAGTCGCTCTCTCTTCCTGCTGCCTGAAGATCAAGCTGTAGAACTCTCAGCTACCTCTCCAGCACCATGTCTGCCTGCACGCCACTGTGCTTCCCGCCAGGACGATAATGGACTAAACCTCTGAACTGTAAGCACCTCAATGACATGTTTTCCTTTCGAAGGGTTGCCGTGCGTGGTCATGGTGTCTCTGCACAGCAATAGAAACCCTAACTAAGACACTACTCAAGTTCAGATCTGAGCACCCAAGGGAAAGCCAAACAGGCATGGCAGCCTGACTATAATCCCAACACTCCAAAGTCCAAGACTGGATTCCTAGAGCAAGCTGGCTAGCTGAACTAGTTCAGTAAGTGGGCTCTGGGTTTAACTGAAACCCTGCCTCAATGAATAAAGCAGAGAACAATCCAAGAAGATACCCAGTATCAAAACGAGGCCTCCAGGCACAACTGCACTCTCTTACATGTGAACACATCCATGCACATACCCAAAAGTTAGGAATTCAAGAATTACTGTTCTAGCTCAAAACAAAGAGACACTTTAAATGAGGCAGCCTTGACACCAACAGAACTATCTTTTCAACACTTTAGTCTTTAATACAGACGCCTATTGCTTCTGAATAATCATGCGGTAATTTGATTCTAAAAACATCTGCCTAAGAGTGTAGCTCAGTGAGCATGTGTAGTCATAGGTTCAAACTCAAGCACCACAAAAAATAAGTATTTGGTCCAGCCACCCAAAAAAAGAAAGAGAAAGTCAGGGCTGAAGAGATAGCCCAGTGGTAAAGAGTACTACCTACTCTTCCAGAAGATCCAAGTGGATTCACAGCACCCACACAGTGGCTCACAATCATCTGTAACTCTAGTCCCAGAGGATCCAATAATCTCTTCTGGCCTTTGCAGGCACCAAGGACACTTGTGGTGCATGGACATAAATGCAGACAAAACACCAGTACACATTTAAAAAAAAAAATGTCCAAAGGCCAAGCATAAAGCAGGAGGATTAGTTAGGCTACCCTAGCTACCTTGTCTAATCGAATAAACCAAAGGATGTTTGTATGTTTACTTTTGCAAATATAACATTAAATGTACTTTATACGAAGTACTATGCAGTCTAAAAACCTTACAAGTTATTACAAAATGAAAATATATTTATGAAATATGTAATAAAAATTCTGACTTACCTTCCTAATGGAATATAGTGAGCTTATAATGGATACTATGGACATAATCACAATGGCTAGAGCATAGTAATAGTATTCATCAATGCTCCACAGGATAACACTGAACAGCTGGAAAATGTAAAATGGGTTGAGAACCTAAAAAACACAAAAAAGGATGCATTAGTAACCAAAACTGGAGTAAAATATGTATAAACATGGAGATTCTCCACCACTTCCCTAGAGAAGCAGACAACCAGATACTTAAAGGATAAGCTCTGTAGTCTTGCTTCCCAATAAATAATAAAATTTGAGCCAATAAACTTAAATTATTTGCATTCATTTAGATTCACACTTAACCCACATTCAGACTCAACTCGAAAAAGCTAACCTGCATGAATTTAGGTGTTCTGCATTATACTTAGTTAAAGTATAATTTATTTGTAATAAATTCTGTTTTCTGGGCTAAAACACAAAACTTTTAATAAAACAGAACAAATGTTTGCTTTTAATGAACTCAAAAGAGAAATTTACTTACATTTCAGAAGTTCTCTGACATACAAAGAAAAGATAAACACGTGGTAATAGGGAAACTGCCTCGCCATCTCAAAAGTAAGACTAGAAAGCCTTGGTGATGAACTTTATGAAACGGTATTTCATCTTCCCTCATTTCCTCCCAATGTCCTCACAACTGCTGCTTTTGTGCTTTTCAAAGCACTTTCATGCATGCAGTACCATTTTACTTCAAACCCAAATAAAATATTAACAAATTATTCACTGGGCAGTGGTGGCGCACACCTTTAATCCCAGCACTCGGGAGGCAGAGGCAGGTGGCTCTCTGTGAGATCGAGGCCAGCCTGGGCTACAGAGCCAGATCCAGGAAAGGCACAAAGCTACACAGAGAAACCCTGTCCCGAAAAACAAAAACAAAAACAAGAAATTATTCTAACTTTATCTATAAAGGAGTAGGTAGAAATGTTTTCTTTAAAAAAAAAAAATCAAAGACAGCTAATAAGATACTCTCAAAGTATGGGGTTTCCTAAATTTCTTTCTTTTTTTGGGTTTTTCAAGATAGGGTTTCTCTGTGTAGCGTTGGCTGTCCTGGAACTCGCTCTATGGACTAGGCAGGCCTTGAACTCAGAGATCTGCCTGCCTCCAGAGTGCACAACCACTGCTCAGGCAGAGCCCAGTCTCACCTGACAGCCGCCTTGGGGATGGAGCCATAGAGCAGGGAGCTGAGGCCGCGCGGTACAGGCCCAGGACGCCATGGCTGCGGACAGTTTGCCGCAGGCAGTCCCCTAGGGGAGGCGCGGTCAGGACCCTGGCTCCTCCGCCCCGGGATGCCCCCCACGCCACCCCGCGGCCGCCCCTCCTCACCGATGCCCCGGGAGCGCGGTGGGTTCGCACGTTCATCTAGCTGCAGCTGCGTCTTCACGTACTCGGTCGGGAAGGTGATGCAGATTTCTATGCCTCCCGCCAGGCCGCCTGCAGGGACCGAACGCTCGGGGCTAGGGACACCCTGGCCGGGTGGACCCAGCCGCCGCCGCCGCTGCCGCCGCTGCCGCCGCCGCCTCCGCGCGGCCCCTCCCCCGCCCGGACTTTGCCCGCCTCGCGGCCCGCTGCCGGACGGCGCCCACGCCCCCACCCGGCGGTCTCCACCTGGAATGCCCGAGAGACTCCCGGGGAGAGCTGGCGCGTGGGCTAGGGGCCCGGGTCGCGCCCCCGGCACCTCCGCCCCTCCGGAAGTTGGGCGGGGCCTGGGCGTCCCCGGCCCACCCGGAAGCGCGGTCGGACAAGCGGCTCGGAGTTGGGGCTCCGAGGGGCCCACCTGCCAGGATTGCCTTCCCGGGGTGCGTCAGCTTGGCCTTCCCGGACCCGGGCGCGGCGGCCGTCAGAGCGCGGGGCGCGCGGGGCGCAGCCATGGCGGGGAGGAGGTAGGGCGCCCGGCGTCGACCTCGGGTCCGAGCCTCCGCTGCGGGGCACTCGGGAGGCGGCCGGTTCTGGTTCTGGAGGCGGGACGGTTACGTCAGCTCCCGGGCTCCGCCCCGCGTGGCCTGAGCTGAGCCCCGCCCACGCCCCGCCCCGTGCCAGCCGGGAAACTGAATCTGGGGCCGGGTGGGCGGAGGCTCGCGTCGGGGGCGGAGAGCAGAGAGCAGCCAATGGCCGAGGCTGGGTCGTGGGAAAACGGAGAACCTGGGGTCTGGGGGCGTGGTCTCCGGACAGCGGTGCTGCTCAAGGCGGGTAGCAGTGGGTCAAGGTGCAGAGTCTGTAACTCCTGGAGTGGAGACACGTGCGCCTGGAGCGCGCCTTGGGGTTGAAGTGGGCCTCGAGTGACAGGATTCCCCAAGATCCCGGAGGCGGTAGGGACGCATCCTCCCCTGTCGCGTGAGGCCAGCCTTCTGGACACATTGTAGTCACAGAGCTTGGCCTTCGTGCACCTTACAGGGCCGGGCGATGATCACTCCGCCCCTCCGGGATCCGTCCGGAAACAGAATTCTCCTAGGCAGCTTCCCCGGACAAATGCAGGTTCCCGTTCCTCTCAGGTTCTGGCAAATCTTTAATGGCTGAAGGGCCTATTAAGTTGGCCTTTGTTCCTCCTACCCACACAATCACCAGGCAGAGCTGCTTTGCTCTGATAAACATGTTTTAATATTCATGGTCGGCAGGAGGCTGAAAGTCTTGTGAGGTCTTCTGTTGCCTTACATATCCTCAAAGCCGCCTGGAGGGGGCAGCCCCAGACAGCTTGGGATGAAACTCCCAGGAATCTTTGCAGACTAGAACCTTTGCATGCCAAGGCCTAGGGGTCCACTTCCCTGTTGTCTCATGGCAGCAGTCACTTTGGGTGGCCAGTAGCCTCCCCAGGCTCTGGATTGGCTCAGAAGCTATCACTGGGCTTCAGCAAAAAAAAAAAAAAAAAAAAAAAAAAAAAAACAAAAAAAAAACCTGCCCAGATATTGTACCTCCCAGTTAGGGTCCTTTGTGGTTCTGGAGTGCCATGTTTCCTGAAAAGGTTAATAACTGGGTCGAGGGTGGGGTGTGGACACAGTACCCAGTACACATGCAACTCAGAGAGGCTCCGTGCAGGCAGGAGCAGTAGAGTACCCATAGGAGAATCCAGTAGGGCTGGTGGGCAGCAGAGCAGAGCCCACTGCCAGCCTGGGTTTTGGTCTCTAAAGGGAGGAGCTCATAGGCAGCACAGATCCTGCTGCCTCTTTTTTGGAATAGAGTCTTGTCCTGGGTGCCCTTGAGCAGTCAAGGAAGGGGCTGAAGGGACAGTATCGGTTCCACTTCCCAGAGCCTAAGGCACAGGACCAGCAAAGAGTATGGGGATTGCTGTGGGGGGCGGTGGGAGGCTGGCTAGGTTGGAGGTTAAGCTAGATCCCAAACTGGACACTTAGCTCAGGTGGACAATAGCTGGTGAAGGTCAGTATGCCAGCCGTGTTAGCACTACAGTACACCCCTCCCCCACCGGTGTTAGCACTACAGTATATTCAGGATCCAACAGCCTGGGCAGTCTGTTCCATGCAATCCCAGGGGGGCTCTCAGTGCAAAGCCCTTCCTAGCACACATCAGAAAGAGCTCTCCCAGAGCCTCGTGGGTCACAGCAGCAGCCCACCGCTGGGCACAGAGGTAAGGAGAATGCTGGCTGGGCCAGTGTTTCTGGACACACTGGGTCCTTCCCACCTCTACCCACCCATCTGAAGCCCAGCCAGGGCAGGGCAGCATGAATTACCTTTGTCCCTCTCTACTCCAGGGTGGCACCTGCCAAACACTAGCATGCATAAGAGCAAGATTGCAGCTCTCATGTGCTCTCCGCGTGCTCCCTTGCAGGCACTGAGTGTGTCTGTCTGCAACAGATGAGAGCACATGGTCTGGAGCTCTAGGTAACCATGGAGGGAGGGGCTTGAAGACAGGAGCCTCCAGGAAAATTAAAGCTGAGTACATGCATATTGGCATCTCTGCGGTCTGGATGGGCTCTGAGTTCTCTCATGCTTTACCCATGGGTCTCACTGCCAAGAGAGATGCAGACCACACTTGTCCTTTATTAAATTGGCCTCTGCATATGACTACCCATAGGTTAACACACTTTAGGGAAAAGAGAAGCAGCTCTCCAATGGAGGGCTGCTCCTACAGGGAGCTGCTGTCTGTGATCGTGGGTAATTAAGGACCCTTGTAAACTTAAACAGTCTGTGTCTCCTGGCAGCTCATGCCATGTGGCCAGGGCATGCTGTGTGCATGGTACACTTTGCTGTAACAGGATGATGGCCCTTCGTTGGCCTCTGTGGGGGCTCTTGCTGAGGGCACGAAGCTTCTAGGGGTGCTGTAGGCAGCTGCCAGCCATGAATGCCTTTGCAGGCTGAGGCTGGCAGCATTAGTCCCACAGACCTGTTTATTTTCTAGTCCACACCAACCAGGACAGCTTCCTTGCCTTGGAATCACAGTACAAAGCCTGGGGGTGTGGCCTGGAATCACAGGCGCGCGCATGCGTGTGTGTAGGCTTCTACACTCTCCACCTTATATTTTCAGGAAAGGTCTCTCACTGATCTTCTTAGGCTGCGCGGCCAGTGGGATGCAAGGATCTACTTGTCTCTGCTTCCTTGTTATCTGCTGGGATTGCAGAGATGAGTGCTGCTGTGCCTGGCTTAATGTGAACACCTCAGGATCCAAACTCAATTCTTAACGGATGCACATAAAGCACTGTACTTACTTAGCCATCCCCACAGCCCCCAGAGAGATTCTTACCAAGGCTTTACAAAGTACTTATGTTCTAAAAATATATCAAAGAACTTCAAAACTTACATTTAGTCCTCCAAAACCTCCCATTTTGCAAATCCAGTATCCAGCTCAGTGACTTCAACAGACCCAGCAAAGCAGTAGACATCTATGCATATCAAAGGCAGAACCCTACCTAGTAATAATGGTTAAAAGTTACTGCTATTACATCAGCAAATTGTAAAATTATTGAGCATTAACATATATGGTTCATATTTGATCTATCTTGTAAGCATTTTTCTTTTAATTCATCAAATGAATTACCAGGATTTAGAGACCCTGATAATAGAACCCACATATTTCCATCTCAGAAAGTTCCAGAAATTGGAATCCATGTATATTTTAATGCAAGGCTGATATTCCTTTCTGTTCTTTTTATCCTACTATATTTGCTCATTTGACTGCTTTGCATCATTTTTGGAGTGAAGAAGAAAATGTGTCTTGCAAAAGCTTACACATCTTATCTGTGAACACTTCCTAAAGCAAGTCCATCCAGCCCTCTGTGCTCATCACAAACGCTGCCGGGTTTTTTTTTTTTTTTTTTTTAAGAGATTAAGTGTCTGCAGGACTAAAGCATGAACAACTCTTTGCCTTGAATAAGATTGTTGATTCGCAAGGTCTAAGTGAGTTTGATCTGTTACTCTTCACCCTCTGGGGCTTTAGTCTTAGGACTGCAAGGGCAGAGTGGAGGGTCCATGGGGTTCACTTTGTCTTATAACACTGGAATGAGCTGGCATTGAGTGATCCAGTTCATCTATTTCCTATGCAGCGATCAATACACGTAGTGGTATTCATTTATTATCAGAGCAGGAGAAAGGATCCTTTCTGGCACATTCTACCACTTCCTTCGCTATACCTTTTAGGATGCTGGGCACTGAGTGGTTAATCACTTCATGGTTTTTCTAAACTCTATGCATGACAAACAGAAGACGAGGACAATCAAAGAAAGGTCAACTTCTCCCTGAAGAACTGTATGCAAGCTGAACTCGAACTTGGCTTCTCGGGTTCAGTGTCACGTACACATGAGTTTGCCAAGGCTACCCACCAATTGTGTCACAGGAGAGCTAGCCTCAGTTGGAGAGATTGGAAGCCCACCATCAAGGGTTCTGCAGGATTGTTGGCTTTTTCTGAGCCTTCCCTTCTCGACTCGTTTCACTCTGAACTCAGAGGACCTTTCCTCTGTGTGTGCACCACCACCCCAGGTCCCTGGGGTGCCTGTCTTCTGAGAATACCACCGTGAGGTCCACTCTTATGACCACATTTACACTGTGTCTCTGCAAATACCCTTTCTCTAAATACAGTAACGCTGGCACCAGAACTTCAACTGATGAATCTGAAGATAACACAAATCAGTCAGGAACAGTGTCAGTTACACACACAGACATCTACGTGGGATAAAGAGTGAGAATGTCAAGTGCAGTTTGCTGGGGAATAGGCTAAATGAAGCATGGTTACCTTATCCTGAGATCCAAATCCTAAGTCTGACTCTTGTCTATTATGCTAACAGTGTCCGTTTTCTCAGCCTCAGGGCTTTTCTTTTAACCTGAGAGTATACTGATACGTGGCTCCTATGTTGCCCGTCAACCTCTTTAAGTTTTTCTAAAATTATTAATAGCACTATTCATTATACAAAATAACAGGCTTCCTCATAACATTTTCGTTCATGTACATTATTTACTTTGCTCATATTTACATGCATTACCCTCTCTTGTTCCCTCCATCTATTGATCCTTTTCCTCTCACCAAAGAGTAAAACAGTACACTTTCTATTTTGCACACACACACACACACACACACACACACACACACACACACACACACTTTAAATAGTGACTCTGCATACAAGATCACATGTAAGCCATTTGTCCTTCTGAGAGGTTTATTTCACTTAGCATAATGATGTCTGCAAATGACATAATGGCATTCTTTATAACTGAGTGAGACTCCCTGGTTTATACATTTTCTTTGTGTGTTTATCTGTTGGTGGGTGGATTCCACTGCTTGTCTACTGTGCCTTGTTCAGCGATAGACAGGGGTGTTCCAGTGTCTCTGGCTGGGTGTCTTAGAGACCTCTGGGGATATTCCCAGGCTTGGTGGAGCTGGATTCCGTTTATTCACTGTTTTATATCCACTTAGGTGATGAGTGCGAGTGAGAAGTGGATATTGAAAGTTTATCTGAAGGAGGCTTCTCTTTCATCCCTAGATTGAACGTTATAGAGATACACGTGAGAATAAAATTAAAGATAAGGAAATATAATACTTTACCAAGTATAGACAGATATCACTTTTCTTAATCGTAATATTTTTAATTTTATGTAATTGTGACATTCATCAGTCCAACTCAGAGAAAAGCACTTTGGATTCCTAAATATGATCATTAATTCATTGTTTGGACAATTTTTTAATTGAGTACTTGTGTGCAGCCCATTGACCACAGTGCTGTGGAGTTAGACATGGCATGCATGTTTTGGAAAAATGTGTATTCTAGGTTTGATGACGTTTTGCCCTCACATTTAAACATTGCAAGAGCTGGGAGAAATAAGACCCATTGATAAAATAACATAAAGTCGCCGTTATTATTAAGTTGCCATCACTTGTTTTCCTGTGCCCAGGGCATGCAGAGAACACCACTCACACCAGGGTCTCTTGGATGGGCTTCTTTAGCGCTGCACAGAGACTAAGCTTTGGACTTCGGATGCCGCCGGGGGCTGGCTGGCCGCCCTGTCCAGCCCCGCCCTGCCGGCTGCTGGGCGCGTGGCACAGAGGGAGTGGGGCAGCTGAGTCCCCATCACCAGCCGCCACCGCGCCAGGTATACTCGATAGGCTCTGCTCGCACAGGCACAGGCTTTGACTGGGCGCTGCCCCCAGCGACCTGGAGCCTCGGGTCCTTCCTTGGCGTCCCGCGGGTCTCACGTCCCAGTACGGGTGTCTCCGGAGCTCGAGTGGCTGTACCTTAGGCTGGGCGGCTCCTGAGGCACCTGTTTGACAGCCTTGCACTAAATCAGAGAGCAAGCAACACCCGCCAGGAGCCCCGCGCACGCACATCACATCACTCGCAGCTCCAGCGGATTAGAACTCGCTTCCTTGCTCCTCTCTGCAGTCCCATTTCAAGCTAACTCTGGCTTTAAGAAAAAGCCGAGTGGGCCCAGTTTCTGCAGCGCTTTCTTCTGCAAGATGGTAAGTGAGGAGCTGGCCTTAGCTAGTCCCGCTGCCAGAACCCCCGGGGCCCTGGAAAGACAATAAACTGCATTTAGAATGTATTCTGCCTTGGGAGATGCCTTTGTACTTTCCAATTAATATAGGCCATTTCTGCTGCCCCGCACCCCTTTATTATTTTCTGCTCCCTTTCCCTGCATATTTGCCGGCCAGCCCCACCCCTTCCCCCTCACCCTGCACAGACCTTCCTTCCTTCCACCTGTTCCTCTAGATTATGCACATATTTGCAAACACTTAGATTTGAAATCCTCAGGAGTGTTTGGGGTTTGTTTTCCTCTCAGGTGTCGATTGCTTAATAGCTTAGCTCTGATTCCAAGAATAACCTCAAAAAAGGAGTCTACAAACATACTTTTAGAATAAAGGAAAATAGCACTTGACAAACTTTTGGCTGAATTTCCTCGGGCAGCACTGCCCAAGCTGTCCTTGCCTCAAAGGGGTACCTTTTCAACCCTTCACTCACTGGCAGCAGGGGCCTAGGGTGACTCAAGTCACTCAATAACTTTTGTTCTTTTATTCTTATTTCCCTCCTCCTCCTCCTCCTCCTCCTCCTCCTCCTCCTCCTCCTCCTCCTCCTCCTCCTCCTCCTCCCCCACCTCCTCCTCCTCCTCCTCCTCCTCCTCTTCCTCCTCTCCCTCCCCTTCCACTTCTTCCTCTTCTTCTCTACCCTCTTCCTTTACCCTACTCTCTGCCTTCTCGACGTTATGTCCGAGAAAGTTCTCAATGCAGCCCCAGGCTTGGAGTGGCCAGAGGAGTTTGCCCAAACCTGGATTCTGCTGCAAGGGATGTTTTTGACTTGATTAAACATTGACACATAAGTAAGAACGGGCCGTTGGACAGCTTAAGCCAGGAAGGAGGCAGACTGCCCACCCCTGCTTGGACATTTGGAAAGACCACATTTGAGATTTGAGGAGTGAGTGGGGCGGGGCAAGAAGGTGTTCACTGAATCAGAACGCAGTGGAGAAAGGCATGCCAGGCAACTACTGGTGGCACGGTAACCTGGAAAGGGCACTGAGGGTTAACGATGGAGGGAACTAGAACCCACCGCCTTTATTCTCAGCTTTTGAGTGTTTACTTGGATTAATGTCATGCTCCTGTGACTGGAGTTAGGGGCAAAGGGTATGTGATCATCTCTGTATACATATATGCGTACACATGTTTAGCCATTCTAGTGTAAGACACACATACACACACACACCTGATTCAGACTCCCAAATTGGGAGATTCCTGGATATGATGCCATGTAGAACTGTTCATTTAACCCTTTGTAGTCTGTGATCTTTGTCTTTCAAGGTTTTTAGAAATACAACCAAGATATCTACTACAGAGCAACAAGTAGTTCTTACATGTTTTAATCTAATCATGAAATCTAATTCTTTTTACTTAATATTTTAGACAGTTTATCGGTTGAGCCAGGCACTACAATAGGAAATACTCCTCTGATGTTGACAAACCTGGCCCATTCAATGCTAGTTATTTGGTGAAAGACTTTAGGGGCGTAGTGGATAATTCAAAGAACCTATTCCTTTTTAGTAATTATAGTCACACCATTCAAATATGTATCTGGACCTGTAGTTATTGCTTTTATTGTTTGTTTGCTTTCCCACCTATAATAATTTCTCTATGTTTCTCGACTCTCTCCCCCTCCTAACTGCCATCATGCCGTCTCCCATACCCCCATCAAACTGAAATTCACAGAACACCATTCTGCCTTGCCAAGATCAGTATTTTGTAGGAGGCCAGAGTTATAATTGCCCGTATTCCACTGCAACGTCAGAATCTAGTGTTGATGTTTCCAAGGAGACTTGGGTCTCTTTCTGGGCTGCTGGTCTCCTGGACAACGCTGAGACCCAACAAGCACCACAGACACAGGGTAAGTTTTACTCTTCTGCTTTGCTTGGATCTTTTCACAGCCCTGAGGCTGTAAGCATCAAGGACTGGGACTCTACAGAAAAAGTGGTATTATAGAGAATTTAAGTGAGCACTAAGACTCCTGGATGTTTTAGCAGGAAAATTAGTTGTTCTGTACACATCAACTAGTACAAATAAAACCCTTCCTCTTGTATGCTTATTTCCTACATTTTGTAATTCTTGGAGATTGCCAACTCATGGAGTAACTTTGGGTCTGTTGCACAGTTTCATAAACAGCAGTCTGGAAGCACATTTTTGGAGTTAAAAATATTAGGTGGAGAATTTATTTTGTAATTTGGTGAGATCCATGTGACCTTGAGAGAAAAAAAAATCAAGAATGAGTAGCAAAGTTTATTTCATCGTACAAATTCTGTGAACAATACTTCACACCTGGAAATAACCATTTTCCCCTTCACATATACACTTCAAATTTAGAGAGATCTCCAATGTTGGTGGAAATGATATGCAACATTATCATTGGCCTGAAGCTTAATGAATATTTTTATCCCATACTACAGGGATTTCTGCATTAATGCTGGTTTCTGTAAAACTTTCAGGCACCTCAGAATTAGACACCTGTGCATCCATTCTGCCCCCCCAAGGTATTTTAGAGACTCTGGGGAGGGGTATGAAAAGATGCTGAAGCAAAAATCAAAATGAATGAACCGTATGTTGTGGAGGAAGTTGTTCAGTTTTGCCTTTTTACTATAAGCAAAAGCAGGAGTGGAGTGTCTCAGGATGTGAACCCAAGTTTCATTTTTACTTTCTTGCTCACCTTCCAATTTAATACTAAATGTTTCAACAACAACATTTTAAGTCCTACAGGCAGGTCAAATGTGAATGAAGCCAAGGTTGGAGAGGGAAAACTAGAGTACATTAGCATGCAGAAACAGCTTCTTTTCATTGACGGGGATAGCTTGCTGTAAAATATGAAAAACAAAAAACTTTGAAAAAAACATTAAAATATACATATATAGACACTTGACATAGAGTAAGTATGGTATAACAGTGAAATCGCCATAACATTATTCAGAGAAACAAGAAGCACATCGCTAAGGTAAATGGGGGTAAGGGTTGTGGATTTGACTCAGCCATGGAGTGCTTCTACAGCATGTACACAGTCCTAGTTTTAATGTCCAGCACTAATAAAGAAATAAATACTGGAAAATGTTATCATACCATGACATAATATTCTGAACAAATTCTGTCCTTCAGATTTCACAAGTGGGACGAGTGAGAGGAAAATATACAGCATCACAATATAGGATTTGATTATGGAGCCAAATATCATACTATCAAATGCTAAAAACCAGAAAGTAACATGAACACTAGAAAATGGAAGTGGAATTGCAATATTGTGCCTAGTGGAAAGGCAGGGTCATTAAGTATTTCTATGAAGTACTGGTATGGAAGAGACAGCCTTTATTAACCTAACCAGTAAGAATGTACATCTACATTTTAGAAGCTGCTCAGCTCCTAAAATACATGTCTTTGGCCACTTTTGTAGTGCATAAATATTTGCTTACTTCCTTCTTCTGAAACAGTTAAAAGTTTTGTTTTCCTGTGTAAAATAAAAGTAATTAAATCTATTAAACTTTAGAAGTTCTTTGTGAGTATTTATCACACGGTTCTAAATACGTTTATTCATCTGTTTTGTATTTTCACATAGAAGCATCCTGTGACTTAAATGTCCCTGTTCTGGACTCATGTTCATGGGAAGAGGCTCAGCTCTCCTCCCAGCTCTACAGAAATAAGCAGGTATGGATAGGTAGCAAGAACATTGAGACTAACTAGCCTAGTTTCATAAAACCCACTCTCCCCTGAGTCTCCCTTTACTTCATATTGCTTTTTAGTTTTAAATATGTTTCTTTTTTATAAATTCACACTAGCTCAGTGCTTGTTGTGACTCCAAAGAGATAAATGTCAAATGAACAGGCTCACAGAAACAGAGGCTCTGAGAAAACTTAGGGGTGACTTCTCAATTAACCAAATTCTTTTTCCTTGTCTGTGGAATATTTCTGCAGCCCTTCTCTGAGGGCTGCTGCAGAGACCAAGGGATGAATACAGCAGTGTTTTAAACGATAAACGCAGCTCATCTTTGAGAGGAGGGATGATGATAAAGGTTTCCCAAAGATCACTTCGTCCTCCGGGTCTCCTTTGTGGCTGTTCCCAACTAGCAGTTTTATTTATTGGACACACAGTCTGACCTACCTTGAGGCTGGGAACAGCCAGGTCATATCTCCTGCTTTTATTTTCATAAATGTGCAAGGAAGGAGTCCAGCCAAGCCTTCTACCATCTTTCCTATATTTAAACAGTTCCGTGCGGCTCACTTTCCTCCCTCCCCACCTGACTCCCTGTGGTTACAATTTTGAAAGTCATCTGATCTCTTCAAACACTTCGTAATGAATGGGCTATGCAGGGCGCAAATTGAACAGTCAGGTGGTAGGGAGTGTAGATGTGATTTAAGACTCAGAGAACCAGGGCTCTTTGAAAGTATGTTCAGAAAACAAACAAGAATAATCAAGTTTAAGAAGGTTGGGGAGCAGTGCGTTGTTATTGGGTTACAAAGCCAATAGAGGGGAGCACCCTTCACTATTGTACGCTTCTTGCAGCTCCAGGACACTCTAGTCCAGAAGGAGGAAGAACTTGCTAGGCTACATGAAGAGAATAATCACCTCAGACAATACCTGAATTCTACTTTGGTTAAATGTCTGGAAGGAAAGGCCAAGGTATGTAATTATCTGTTTTCTAAGTGCAAGGCAGTAACTTGACAGAGGAAACCACTGCTGACACCCCATGATTAAATACTTTAAGTTTACTGAACAAGATGTCTTCATGGGAGTTAGTAGGATGGATAATTTTCCTTAAGGAAATATATAACTTCAACAGGATTTTTATATACCATTTTCCGCAAGTTTCTAGTTTCAGATTTTTAGCTCAACATCACAGAGGGAATTAAGGACAGAAGTTAATCAGAGGAATTGCTAAGACTACTGGAGTTCATAAAGAGTGGAATATTGGAGTAGAAATCAAATGTAAAATATATCAGTAATTCTAATTATGTGTTAGATGTTAGCTGAAGTTCTTCCTCGGGGCCTTTGCTGTCGTAATTGATAAATGGATGGGCCAAGAGCACTGGGCGGCAGTGGGCGGAGTCTGGGGCGGGCTTATAGGAAATGAGGCGTGCCATTGGCTGAGCCGAGAGGCGGGACTCACGGTAGGAAATTCACTCCCACGCCCCCAGCCCAGACTGTATCCTCAGGCCATGGTTGAGTTAGCAGTAGCAGACAGAGGCTGGTTGGGAGGATTTAAGAGGGGCGGAGGCCAGGGAAGATAGCTAAGTGAGGAAGACACAACTTCTGGAGGGGAGCCGAGAAGTGCAGAGAGGGACAGGGCTGCCTGCAGAGGAAGGGCTGGAAACCAGAGCCCTCTCTTGCACCGGAGGGCTTGCACCGGAGGGCTTGCACCGACTGCATCAGGAGCTCAGGGGCTAGGCAGGTGTTTCATCATTACCCCAGGGCTTCTGGCTGCACAAACCTGCCTGTAGGGGGCTGAGGGAAGACTACGGAAGGCAGGTTGACCCCCATAGTACCTTTTGGGCTCCCCAAATTGCTTTGCAGCTGGTTTTTCAGTTCTGCCCATCAAGGGATATGTCCCTCCATGTCCAGCTGGCACCCAGTTCTCAACTATGCCTTTAGTTGCTCCACATCACCATTTCTCAGCCCAGAAGTAGGGCGCTCCACTAGTTAACCCAAGAATGTCCCACAGCTCTGTATAGCTTTGGCTGCATCCCATTCTCTTCCAATCTCAATCTGTTCCAGAGGAGATGCCCTCAGTCAGAGCTGGAAGCAGACCTTGGCAAAGCAAAATTGTCAGCATGTCTGAACCTTATAGGCAAGGGAGGCAGCTACTGGTATTCCACATGGGTGTGGCCTGCATCTGGCACCACTGGCTGCCATGTGCCGCTTGCCTTGCTGACACCATGTCCCAAGCAGTCCTCACCTTGCGGTTGTGGCTCCTTTCTCTTCACCTCACTCTGGGCAACCTCAGGGAGGTCTAAGGGTTTTTAATACATAAAAATAAGGACATTTAGACTCATCTCAACCCTGCCCTCACCTGTGTCTCTACCTTGGGAAGACACTAATGCCAATTTACCCTGGAGTGAGTTCCTGTTCTTCCTGCGTCCCCCAACACATCCAGCCTACCGTGATCTCCCTGTCTGCTGTTCCACCTGTCATCTCCCAGTGTTCACAGCTACACCTAGGTTACCTCCTACCACCCTCAGAAAGGATTTCCATGCTAGCTTCTGATCTGCCCATCCACACCCCCTCATCCCTGTACCCCAACATATGTGCCAAAAGCATACTTGCCAATTCACCTCTGAAGACTATGCCAATGTCCCTGGGCTCAGCCTAGGGACTCAGTCTTCTTCAAAGCCTCCTGGGACCAAGCAACGCTCTGTAGCCCGCCTCTGTGAATTTTGCCTGTGAGGACCAAGTATACAGGGTTGAGGCACAGCACTGACCCTGAGCGACACTGGAAGAGAGTGACGCTGGAGAAGCCCCCTGAAGAAACTTGGATGGGGCTGAAGGCTCTAGGACATATGGGGCTAGGTGGTGGAGGATGCCCTGAGAGGTGTAGGCTCCTCCTCTCTCATCTCTGTAGTCTTCTTATGATTTGGGGGACAGAAGACACCAAGACCTGAGGCTACTTGAAATTTAAGTAGGAGACAGTGGGGGTAGGGAAGAGATGCAAGAGTTCCTGCTATGTGCATTACAGGTATAGAAATAGCTCAGAGAAGGTGGGTTCCCACCACAGAGCACAGCGCCCTGAATAGCGTTTGCAAGTGACTGAGCCCAATCCTCCTCATGTGGCCTTATCCTGCAGAACCATTCATGTGGGCTGCTGAATCTGACTCAGCCATCTGTAGGGGCATTCAGGGGCTTTAGGACCAGGACTTCAAGGTGGCATCTATGGTTTATTCTTGTTCCCCATATCATCTTTTCCCTCTTGTCTCCCTGGGGGCTCCTCTGTACCTGGGTTATGTCACTTCCTCTTGGAAGCCTTCTGTCCTGCCTCCTCCACTAGAAAGAGGCCTTCTTGCTTTCCCTCTGAACACAGCATCCTTGGGTCACATCTTGGCAGCTCACTGTAAGCGTAAGACTCCTGTGAGATGTGAAAATGAACACAGGACTTCTAAAGTAGCCAAGATTATACAAGATGCCATTTGCAAAACAAACATTAATGCACAAAATACAAGACAGAGCAGCATGCAAATGGTGAGCAGTGCTGCAGCGCTTCATGCAATCCCTGCTCACCACTCACAAACCCAAGGTGGGGGTACAGTGAGCCCCACCCCTCCACTCAGAAGCTTGCTCCTTATGGAGAATGCTAAGGGCCATCAATCCCTGAGCCATCCAGCACCAGGCCCAACACAGTCCCCTCCTCCCAGGAAAGGCCCAGGCTGGCTGTTCCCAATTCCCCCACCCTAGACCATCAGAGGCCTGCTCTGGTCCAAGGCCCTGGGCCTCCACATGCATCTCAAAGCCAACTGGCTTCTCTAACAGCAACCGTCTTAAAAATGACTTGGGTTGTACAAGGCCTGCCCATGATTTAGAGAAAAGCTCATGACATTCTCTCCTTTCCTGACTTAGCCATTCTCAGCGGTTGCTTGCTTGGTTATCTTACCAACGTTTGTATCTATCCTCCACACCTGCCTACCCTGGACCCTCGGTACATCCCCTAGCACTACCTACCCTCCTATCCACACACACACACCTATTCACCAGGTCTGTGGCTCATCTGCCCACTCTGCCCAAAGACCCTTGCCAACTCCTGACCCCACACATGGAACTGCTCTCATCCAGCAGACTGGGACCACCACTGGACTGACTGGACCTGGGCAGCTTCCACTGATTCCAGGGTCACAAGCTCACAGGAGGTTTTCTTCAAACCCCAAAGAAAGGGCAGGGAATCGGCTCTCGTGAAATGAGGAACACACAGGACCAGTTCCCAAGGCCTGATAAGGAAACAGGCTTGGGAATGGACCTGGATCACCTCCCTTTGGGCCTCGCTGGTGACAATGAAGCCACAGCAAGAAGGAGGGCCAGGGAGGGTTACCACAGGCCTGAATGCCAGCTTCATTCCAGTGGGTGGGGAGGGGGTGCTCCTTCTAGGCCTTCCTGGCTTGCAGGGGCCCCATTGCCCACAGCCTAGTCCCCACTCCCAGCAGCCTGGCTTTATGACTTCATTCGCTGGTCACTTGGTGACAGTGCTGAGCGCTCCACTCCTCCAAGTCCAGGCCAGCCCAACCAGACGCCTCCCCACAGTGGGAATGAGGACAATGCTTGCTGGCCCGTGTCGGGAGGGGATGCAGAGGGCGGCGGCACCGGCCGCTCCTGGCACCATGGACGATGCCGCGGTCCTAAGGAAGAAGGGTTACATCGTAGGAATCAATCTGGGCAAGGGCTCCTATGCAAAAGTCAAATCTGCCTACTCGGAGCGCCTCAAATTCAATGTGGCAGTCAAGATCATAGACTGCAAGAAAACACCCACTCACTTTGTGGAGAGATTCCTTCCTAGGGAGATGGACATCCTGGCGACTGTCAACCACCGTTCCATCATTAAGACCTACGAGATCTTTGAGACCTCTGATGGACGCATCTACATTGTTATGGAACTGGGCGTCCAGGGCGACCTCCTCGAGTTCATCAAGTGCCGAGGAGCCCTGCATGAGGATGTGGCACGTAAGATGTTCCGCCAGCTCTCCTCGGCCGTCAAGTACTGCCATGATCTGGATGTTGTCCACCGAGACCTCAAGTGCGAGAACATTCTGCTTGACAAGGACTTCAACATCAAGCTGTCTGACTTCGGCTTCTCCAAGCGCTGCCTGCGGGACGGGAGTGGGCGCACCGTCCTCAGCAAGACCTTCTGTGGGTCAGCGGCTTATGCGGCCCCCGAGGTTCTGCAGGGCATCCCCTACCAGCCCAAGGTGTATGACATCTGGAGCCTGGGTGTGATCTTCTACATCATGGTCTGTGGCTCTATGCCCTATGATGACTCTAACATCAAAAAGATGCTGCGCATCCAGAAGGAGCACCGAGTGGACTTCCCACGCTCCAAGAACCTGACTGGTGAGTGCAAGGATCTCATCTACCAGATGTTACAGCCAGATGTCAACCGGCGGCTGAACATTGATGAGATCCTCAGCCACTCATGGCTACAGCCCCCCAAGCCCAAAGCCATGTCTTCTGCTTCCTTCAAGAGGGAGGGGGAGGGCAAGTATCGAGCTGAGTGCAAGCTGGATACTCGACCAGGCTCAAGACCTGAACACCGGCCTGACCACAAACTGGGGGCCAAACCCCAGCACCGGATGATGGTGGCACCCGAGAATGAAGACAGGATGGAGGAGAGGCTGGCTGAGACTTCCAGAGCTAAAGACCATCACATCTCTGGAGCTGAGGTGGAGAAAGCAAGTACCTAGTGGTGGAGTGGGCCCTGGGGGGTCATGGTGTGCAGTTTGCACTCACATAAGCTAAATAGGCAGGTAGGAGCTGAAGAAGGCACAGGCGCAAGGAACAAGTAAAATCCGTCAATTAAACCACTCTTTTGATTATGTTCTATTAGCTTTCTTCCACTTAGTAGCAAAGACATTAATACTGACCACCAAATAAACCACAAAGTGTATACAAGCATTGAGAGTGCCCAGTGGGGAGTCTTTTTCTCTAGGACTCATCCAGCGCGGGGGATCTCTAGCATAGGGGTCCAGGAACTCAGGCCCAGGCAGACTCATTGAGGCCTGTGGCGGAGGGGACCTCTGTCATAGTCCTCTTGCCAGGCTCACACTTGGCAGCCTCTGGCCTCTCCCACCCCCAGGGCTTCCAGGCGTGGACTGCACCATGCTTCCCCCTCATCTAATGCAATACAAGCTATCCTGACCCTGTCTTGTCCTTACCCAGGTCAGTATCCATTAACCCCAAAGAGGCGATCAAAATTAGTGAGCTTTGCTGCCCAAGCCTCAACCTCACCACTCCCAGGTGACCCGCTGACAGATTGTGGCCGTCTTCCCCATCCTGTAGAGCTGTGGTGCCGCAACCCTAGCATCCCTCAATGTCATTTCCTGGTTACCACCCCTCCCTAAAGATTCCCTCATGCTGGCCAGATGCTTGAGGTGGTCAGCATCTGGGCAGCAGCCATCCCCACTCTCTGCTTCCCACTCACTGGGTAATCCCTTGGATTAAAGCTCAACCTTCCCTAAGAGACAACAGTACCAAAGCCCTTAGCCTGGGATCCCAGCTGCAGCCCTGCGGCTCCAGGGCACAGGAACTCACTGTGGGGAACTTCTGGTTAGCAGAGGTCTGACCTAGTTTGTTTCTATTGCCAAGATAAAAACTTGAACCAAAAATAACTTAGGAGAGGAATGGTTTATTTCAGTGCACACTTTCAGGTCACAGTCCATCACTGAGGGAAGCTGGAGCAGGGACCCAAGTGGGAACTGAAGCAGAGACCATGGAAGAACGCTGCTTACTGGCTCCCTCTCTAGCTTACTCCTAGGCTCTCTCACACAACTATGGCCCAGGGATGCCACTGCTGGGCCCTGCCCTCCTCCATCAACTAGCAGTCAAGAAACTACCCCACAGACATGCCTTCAGGTCAACCTGACGAGAGGTAATTCTTCAGTTGAGGTTCCTTCTTCCCAGGTGACTAGCTTGTCAAACTGACAAATGCCACGCAGTCCAAGGCCCAAGGCAGGAGGTACCCAACCCAGGTAGTCTCCAGAGAACACCAGTGCGCAGAGGCCTGAGGACCACTGCCAGCAGTCAGGAAAGATGGCTTTCATGGAATCAAAGCAGTATCTGGGGCTGGGAAGAGTCAGGTGTGCTTTAGGCTACCTGAATAGCTCAAGCCTTGGGCTGCTCAGAGGGCAAGCCCTAGGACACCACCAGCGGCCTCAAGACCATTGGCTGTGCAATCAGATCACAGTTTTGGACCCTGTCAGGCCCAGACAGCAGGGACCCTTCACCTCTGTAAGGCATAGGCTCACAGGCCCAGTTGGCCACTAGTCACCTGAGGGCTAGCCACCCTTAGTTCACAGGTATTTACTGTGAACACAGGTATTATACAGCTGGCTGCTGGTGCACATGGCACTTACAGGTTTACAGGGAACCCACGCTCTTTCTTTTCATAATACAGCCCAGACTGAGGCAAGGCTGGTGTTTTGGCAGAGCCCAGTAGCAAGTACCAAAAACACTGGGATAAGCAGAGATTAGGATGGGGAGGCAGCCTAACCCAACCTAAGCTGGAACTAGGTGCTAGGAGGTAACAGTTGAAGTCACAGCAAAGTGACTCGTCCTGGTGTGAACCTGATAAGCAGGACCTACCTGGGCCTGTAACCAACAAACCAATGGTCAGGCCTGGCTGGGAGGCTGTGGAGCTGGACTAGAACCCCATGAGCTCAATGGCACAACTTCTGGGGGCTGTGCTACCCTTCACAGTGCTAGGCTCAAGTGTAAACTCAGCACAGAAGGCTGCTCTGTGCGCCATTTTCCTCCCCCAGAGCCCCTTGCTTCTAGCCGGTGTCCTGAGACACCCAGGTGGGCCCCAGGACATGGAATGGCGGCCCAGCCAGACAATGCCAGGTGTTCTTTAATCAGAGTTCAGTTGGGGGTTAACTAGAAGGCAGTTTCAGCAGGGCCTTGGGGGACAGCACCAATGCTATACTCCCAAGGGAGTGGTCAGCAGAACGTGCCATGGCACAGCACTATACACTTGTGGTTCCTGGGATAATCAACTGCCTGTGACCTGGGTCCCCAAGGCCTGAAGTCCTCTGAAGAGTAGACAGCTGCTCTACACACTCCACAAAGTGTCCCACAAAGCATCCATAGGTCCAGCCAGGCCTGGCTCTAAAAGAAGTCTGAAGCTTTGCGCCGGGCAGGGAGCTGCAGCAGGTTGTCTGTGATGGAGGCTGGGTCCTGTGTGAGGGGTGTGCGTGTGGCAGACCCAGGGGCTGGTGTGCTTGTTGGGGTCTGTGGCCCACCAGCTGGGGTCTTGAGGTGGGTAGAGCGTGCTGGGGATGGTGTATAGCTGGCCCGCAAGGCGCGATCTGTATACTTGCTGGCTGTCCTGCTCACGAGGCGCTGTAGGGCGGGGGACATGGCTGGGCTCAGGCCTTTGGGAGTAAGACTGTAGAGAAGGAGTAGAAGAAAGCAACCATGTTAGCGGCCAAGTGCTGCTTAAGGCAAGGCCTCCCTCAGTTCCTCAGGAGGAGCCCTATCAAGAGACACGGTCACTTTGAGCTGACGACAACCCTGGACACAGCAGTCGGGCCAAACCTGAGGCACTGTGGAACTGCTACCTCTGGCTGTGGGGCTGGATGGAGCACTTCTGAGAGCTGGAGTCTCCATCTCTCCAATGTGAATGACATGACTCCACAGGATTAACAGGAGCTCACAGCTGGGCAAGGAGCCCAAAGGTACCTCCTAGAGAAGGCCAAGGAGGCTATAGAGGCGAGATGGAGAGTGCTCACAGTCTGCTCCACACAGCCACAGCCCTCACAGAAGAACCTGTGGATATACCCTGGGCTCCGTCCTGCAAGCCATGGCCCACACGGCCTTGGAGGCTAGAGTGGGAGTGAAGCAGGACAAACTCACCTCTACCCTATCCTCCCCAGGATCCAGCTGCCTCTCACCTGGCCAAGTTCTCGGTGACTCTCCGCAACGCTTCCTGCTTCTTGGCCCGGTTTTTGGCAGCCGCTTCATTGGCCATCTTCAGACCCAGGCGCTCCCTGCGTCCTGGCTCCAAGATCTACAAGGGAGCGGGCATGTGGGTGACTTGTGATGAGCCTGCTACATACCAGGCAGTCCATTATCCAGAAGGGCAGCTGCGTGGGCACCAACCTCTTCTCTATGGCTGCTACAATCCCAGCAACTCATCCTTCTCAATAGCCTGTCAAAAGCCCCCCCTCCCTCCCGCCGGAATGGTGCATTCGTGCACCCCCAGCACTTGTTAGGAGACTAAAGAATATGAGGCCACCCTGGCCTACCCAGTGAGACACTGTCTTAAAACACACAGAGAGACAAACAAAAGCAAGACGGCTCAGTGGGTCAAGGCGTTTGTTAAAAGCCTGATGACCTGGTCTGAATGAGGGAAGCACTCTAGCACGTTGACCTCTGACCTCCATACATGTGCTACGTCACATGCCATGCACACAAATGCTTATACACATTCACACAAATAGATAAATGTCGAACAAAATTGTGTTGGGAGCTGGGAGTGGTGGTGCACGTCTTCAGTCTCAACACTTGAGAGGCAGATCTCGGAGTTCAAGGGCAACTTGATCAACACACAGTCCATTGCAAATCTGAGCTACATAGTGAGACCCTCTCTCAAAGAACAAAAATAAACAAAAAAGGTAGTCCCAGCACTTCAGATACTAAAAGTGGTGGAGGGTGTGTACAGGAAGCAGGTCCTGGGTTAAATCCCTCCCCACTCCCCAACAAAACAAAAACAAATAACAACAGCAACAAAAAGTTTAAACTACACCATTATCTTCTAGATGTTTTTATAATTATTGTTTCATATTTAAGGTTTTCACTTTTCTGGAACTTACTTTGCTGTTACCAATATTCAGAACCTAGCTTACCTTACCCTCAAAGGCTCTGCAGTCCTGCACCACCTGAAACATCACCTTTTCCACGCCCTCCGCTCTTGGTCTGTCCCCAGCTTTCCATCCTGCTTGACACTTGGGCAGCACAAGGCACAGCAGGACGCAGCTGGCGTGCCCCACAGAGCCTGCCCAGGGCTGGTTTCAGAACTCTCTCCTGGAAGAGCCCTGCAGGTCTACAGCCACTTGCTGTGTGGTCAGAGCCTTCGGCCAGGCTTTCATGTTCAACAGCATCTTGTTTGTTGCCCTCTCACATCTGTTATCTCACATCCCAGACAGTCTACAGCCAAGACTACCCGTGACCTGTCTAGGTAGTACATATGCTCTCCAGCTGCTCTGGGGAAGGACCCGTAGTGCCACATCAGGGAGGTCCTCCTAACGGGTCAGGAAAGCAGTTTCAGGACTGCAGAACACGTCTCTGTTTGCTTTATGAAAGCTACGCTATTCCTGGTGATTCCGATTCTACTGCTGCAGGGACGTCATCCATCGCTGTCTACCACATTCCAAATTGATCGCAGCAGTATTGGAGGGACTGGCCTGAGATGACCTGTGACCCAGCCACCAAAGCATCCCTAGATGTTTATTCAACACTACATCTCATCTTGCTGGGTTTCCAAAGAAGGTTCATACTCTTGGCCTACCCACTCGATACCCTGAGCCAGTGGGCTCAGCACCCTCATCGTGAGCACGCATACTCTCAAGTATCAGGGACCTTTCCTTCTTCACATTCCAAATTACACTGACACTCTGTTTTATCCACAAACTCCCTGAAGCCCAGGACACTGTACTTTCTTTCCCCATAGCTCTCAGGGGAATATCTACCCACCCATCCACATAAACCACCAGGAGCTACCTGACTTGTATATGCTGTCTGTCCACCTCTAGCTTCCTGCTCCACCAGACAGAGGACACATGACATACACCAGACCTCATCTGACTTGGCCTTTCTGGTCTGTTCTACGTCTTGACCTCCATTCCACCCACTCCTACAATGCTGCGCTCACATTGTACTGTCCTGAGTGTCCCTACTAT